CTGGTACAAGTCTTGATTTTGCAGCTACTATGACGGGCGAATTTTGGTTTTGGTTTGTTTTACTATAAATAATGCATGCGTATGCGTTTTCCGACGAGTCACAGAATCCGTGTAATTGAATCTCATCCTTTTGTTTGACTTGTAACCATCTCGGAATTTGTAGTTCATTTATTTCAGGTAACTGACTTTTGATTTTTGTCCATTCTTTGTTTATGTTTTCAGTTACTTCGTCATCCCAGCGTAAGTTTTCTTGCCACACACGTTGAAAAATAATTTTTAGTTTTGTAGTAACAGGGCACAGCCAACCCAAGGGGTCAAATATTTTCGAAATTTCTGACAATAAATTCCTTTTAGTGATTCGTTTAGTTGAGTTAATATCGATTGTTAATTGAAAAGTAAAGTTATCTTCTTTCGGGTTCCACCTTAGACCCAATGTTTTTGTAGATTCCTGTAGTCGAAATTGGAATAATTCTTGTTCGTTATTTACAGGGTTCTTATCTAAAAGTTTTGGGTTGTTTGATGACCACTTCCGCAAGTTGAACCCACCAGACAAAAGAAGTTTCTGAAGGTCGTTTTTTATGTGAATTGCAGTTTCTATGTCATCAAATCCGTAAAGGAGGTCGTCCATGTAAAAAGATGTGTCTATGATTGCTGCGGCGTCCGGGTAGTTGTTCCTCTCGTCATTAGCTAATTGTTTTATGGTCATCATAGCTAAAAACGGAGCCGCTTTAGTTCCGTAAGTTACAGTCGTTAACGCGTACTCCTTGATTGGTTGATCAGGCGCTTCCCTCCATAATATTTTTTGATAATCTTGGTCATCTTCATTTATATAAACTTGCCGGAACATTTTTTCGATATCGGCTGTGATTGCTATTTTATAAAATCTCCATTTTAAAATTATTGATTGTAAGTCTGTTTGCAAGTTTGGGCCACGGTACATTAAATCATTTAGGCTTTCTCCTGACGTAGTTTTAGCGGACGCATTAAAAACGACTCGCAGTGCGGTTGTTGATGACTCGGCGCGTTGCACACAATGATGCGGTAAGTAATAGTTTGGTTTCTTATTACTTGTACAAAGTCGCATATGATTTAATTGTTTATATTCGTTCATAAATAGTTTATAATCTTTCTCTATCTTCTCAGATTTTCTAAATTTGTTTTCTAATTGGCGAAATTGTGCAGCAGCTTTGTTTCTTGACTCCCCCAGCTTTTCTTCGATATCAATATGTAAAGGTAGTTTTACGACGTAACGGCCGTCTTCTTGTCGTTTTGTGGTTTGTTGATACTGCTGTATACAATGAAGATCTTCCGCGGACATTAGGGAGTTTTCTGAGATGTCTTCAATTGTCCAGAATCGGCTGATTTCATCTAAATTATTAACAATGACGTTACATTGATATGATCTCATATTACCACACAAAATCCAGCCAAAATGGGATTGTTGCGCGATGGGGTCTGTTTCTTTTCTTTTAATTATTCCTCCGAGTATAATGTTTGAGTAGACATCAGCTCCGAAAAGTATATCGACAGGGCGACTTATGTTGTAGTCTGGATCAGCTAGTTGTAGACCTTCCAAATGTGTCCAATTTGATGGTTTTGTAAACGAGCGGCTGGGTAAATTGTTAATTAAGTTACGCATAACGTAAATATATGATTTAAAAGTATAACTTCCAGTCGTAGAGGTACATGTTACTGTTATAGCTCCTTTACAGTTATTTTCTCTCGCTCCGACTCCGAAAATGACTCCTTTGCATTTTTGTCTAGGTAATTCGAGCATCTGAGCGGCGTTTTCACTGATCAAGGAGACCTGTGATCCCTGGTCTATCAGCGCACGAAGAACGATCTCCGAACCATCGTTCGCCTCGACTTTGACGAGGGCAGTGGCTAGAAGTGTCTCTGATATGTCTTCCATTGAAGCATGGCTGCTTGAAGTTGATGCGTTCTGGTTACTAGTTCCTTCTATTTGGTTTTTAAATGTTGCGCTTGTATCATGATGAAGCAGTGTATGATGCTGTTCATTGCATTGGTGACATCTTTTCTCTGATTTACATTGTTTGCCCTTGTGATCGAACAAACAATTTTTACATAAATTATGTTTCGCAATTAATTTCCGTCGCTCGTACAAATGTAATTTGATAAATTCATTACAGTGAAATAATCCATGTTCATTTTTGCAAAGTGGGCATCTTACGTGACTTGGTGTGTTTTTAGACGTCGTTTTGTTCAATATAGAAAAATTATTGTTTGTTGAATTATTAAAACTTTTTGGTTTTGAGTAAAAGTTTTGGTTAGTGCTGAATGCTTTGTATGTAGGCTGGTATTTCGCATTTGTTGAATTACGTTGTTGTTCAGTCGCTAATCGTTCATGTTTTCGACGAGAAGACTCCAAAGATGTAAATTTCATTTCCAAAAATTGCAGAAATTCAGTTAGACTTGGTAGTTCTCTCGGCTGTTTGAGGCTCTCAACATAATCGTTGTAAGTGTCTGTATCCAATTTCTGAGATAAGAGATGTACCAAAATTGGATCCCAAGATGAAATATCTACACTGAGGTTTCTTATGGCATTGAGGCACTCGTTTGTTGTATCGTGAACCTTTTTGATAGATAAAGCTGTTTGGTACTGTATAGTTGGTAAGTTTAGCATAGTATTGAGGTGCGAAGTGAATATGAGCTTTTTGTTATTATATCTGTTGTTCAGTATGTCCCAACAAACATTGTAATTGTCAGAACTTATTGATAGGTGTTGAATAAGCTTTTCAGCTTCGCCTTTGACTTTCGACTTCAAGAACTGCATCTTCTGCGCTTTTGATAACGAGGGATTGGAATGAATAGTTTCAATGAATAAATCCTTGAAGGATGTCCAGTTCTGATATGCACCATTAAAGACAGGAAGTTCCATAATTGGTGTCGATTTTTCTTTGTGTGATGCCGACCACATTTTTGAGTAAAGAGCCTTCTTAATTGAGTTATACTTCTTTTCGTATTTTTCAAACATACTTTCATATTCGTTTTGTTCTATAATAACTTCACAGTCAAGCTCCCAATGCAGTGAATCAATGGTTTTCCATCTCGACTCGATGTTTCTTAAGGTATCTTCAAATTCCCACTTTTCGTTAATTTCTTCTAAATCGATGGCTGCGAGGGTCCTTGAAAAAGCCTTAAAATTTGAACTTTGTCGTCGTAACATTTCCTCTGACTTGCTAATATTACCTTGAGAATCATTTTTTGTTTTAGAATTTTCATCTTTGTATTGTTGCTGAGATGTAGATGGTTCACCGGAAGCTGCGGGTTCGGTTAGTTGAATTTTTGGATTCAAAGGTGATTTATCCCTTTTTTGTGGTTCACTCATTTTGGCTTGTTGAATAGTTGATCGCGTTTCGTTATAAAAATTTTTTGTTTGTTGATAATGATTTTCCGAAAAGTAAGTATATTTTCGGTCTTCAAAAGCACACAGTTCTACATGATTTGCTTGAAATTCCGACCAATATGAATCTAAAATTTCCAGGCGTTTCTTGATATATGTTTGAGTCTTACGATCTGCTGGATCTTTCTTGAAGTTGCGAAGATGTTGTTGCATCGCCTCGATGATTTGTTTTTGATTTTCCAGTAGATCTTCAATGTTGCTCATTTTGGTAAGTAGTTTTTATGTTTCGTTCTTTTTATGTAGATAGTTAAAGGGCTGAATGGTAGTTTTCCAAAGGTTTGTACTCGTAGAAACACTCGCGTATTGTCCGTAATTTCACACCGGAAACGCGTAAATAATCCACGTGCACAATTATTCGAAGGACCATCAAGATGTAGGGTTTTGTCCTACATCTATGGAAAGTTTGTTGTTCGAGGTAAACGACGTCACTGTTTTTATAGTTTATTTCACAAATGTTTAAAATAGTAAAAAGTTGTTATAAATGTTTGTTAGTTGGTGGCTTACGCTTAACTAACTCTAATAACAATTAAATTACATTATAGCGGAAAATGCTGATCCGCATAAATACGTACTTTGACTCGAGCCACTTATATTGTGCGGTTGCATAACCGTACAACTGAAAATGTGATTTCACCAGACCAGGATCTACAACGGTGTGGAAACTTAATATTGAGCCCCTTCACCAATACAATAATAATTATCGATATCATAAATTACTATACTTCATTTTGCAGTGCAAATTTAAACTATAGCTATTTTAAAGTGTAATTATTTGACAAAAAATAAACAAATTGACTACATACCTAAGTAAAATTTTGTTTATAAACTATATTCTTAATCAAAGTAGTGCATGAGGGGTTATCCATATATTCACCACACTTTAAAAGAGGGGAGGTTTAGGAGGGGGGCAAATTGAGGAAAAAAAATATCAGTTATTTGCAGAATCGGACATATATAGAATCGGCCATTATAGACTATGTAGTTTTTTCGCGAATCGGTCATTTGTCGATTAAACCGTAAACAAGTATCAGAAGTATTATTATTGTAAGGAGATATCAGAAGGCATAAGAACCGACGAGCATGTATGAAGACAGAAATGAACGCCAGGAGGCAAAGTATGTGTGCAAGGATCATTCCTTGTGGCGCTCGGTCCCCTCTGTCTACCCCTTAAAGGAACCGGCGTGAAGATAAAAGATAATTAGATACTATTTGTTATTATTAACTATTGTTTACTAATTAGGCATGATATATATTTATCAAGTGCAAAATCTCGAGATTGGACATTAGTCTTTGTAATCTCATGTGCGTTGCGATCACAATGCAACTCGCCGCCTCTGTCTCCACCAAAGGCTGGCGATTAATTCCGCGCGGACTGTAACTTAGGCTTATCTAGCAATTATTACACCAATCCACAAGGTAAATACACATCTAATCGTATATCGTCCATCTTAACCTAAGGGTACTAGTATCACAATGTGATGTGATGCACTACTTCATTCTAAAACGAATGAACGACTTGTTGGAGCTCTTGAGATCCGTCGTGCGCCGCTCGGTAGCGGCTTTAAAACAGCCTTCATCATGAGCAAGCCGCTTTTGCAGCTTTCACAGCTGGAAATAAAATGTGTAATCGTTTGAATTCATATTTCTCATTATAACGCCAAAAAGCTTGTATAAAGCCGAGTATTTATTTATACAAATACCAACTAAATACATACAGTTTTTTTTTCAAGACAAAAAATATTAATGAGGTATATTATGTATGCATTGTATGACATTTAAGCAAATGAGAACGTTTATAAGATTTGGTTACATTAAACTTGAAAAGACAATAATCGTTGCTTTCGCCAGAAATGATTACTTATTTTAGTTTGCAGGCATACAACCAATCTAAGAGTGATACATATTCCAACTCAATACAAATTTATAGATTCGATTGATTAGCCAATGATTTAATATAATATGTATATTGCCTTAAAACGATGATCTAAATTAGTATTCTTAGTAAAAGCATGCTAAAAAAGGAAAGCATTATAATCCAATTTAAAGCCGGCTTAATCGCTGGTGCAAACCAGATTTTATTCCTTTATCGTCAATAAAATAGCTCACCTTCTCTCTCCTTCCGGCGCAGCTTCTTGCGACGACGGTCGATCGCAGCAAGCTCTGCCTTCACAGAGTGGTAAGTCTTTCGCAGATCAGCCAAGCGCGACGTTAACACGTTGATACGCGTAGGACAGTCCCACGACGGATCTAATACCAAGTTTTATAAGTAAATATAAGTCGAATGTTTGCTAATGTGCTGGAACCTTTTCTGATAAGAATAAATAAATCATTTATAATAATTATGAATAATACCCAAAATATCGTTATAACAATTTTATAACTAGTAGTTTGTTTTGAAAACGAAAAAAGAAATACATTTACTATGTAATAACGCGATTCAATAACCACAGGAAAAGATGATTTTTAAAATATAGCATAAAGAATTTACGATGTGACAGACATTAAATATATTTATTTTTAACGAAATCAGATTTACTTATGTATTTTGGAAATAATAGCAGTTGCTATTTTAGTCACCCAAAACAAATAACAATTTTTTTTGTGATCTCAACACAACCCAAACTTAATAAATTTACTATATAATCAACCAGTGTTTATTTGTTAACGGTACTGAAATTGACGTCACACTGTTCAGTGATCGCAGTGTATATCGGAACATACTCTGTATAACATAATATCGTCACCAAAATGGCGGCCTGGCGCATTTGCAACTTGCAGGGATTATAAGTAATCTTACTAATGTTATAAAGGCGAAAGTTACTAGGTTTGGATGTTTGTTACGTCTTTACGCAACATTTTCCATTTTCCATACATTGATTGACCTGTCACAAGTGTTTTTAAAGGTCGGGTATACCGACATTTAGTAAAAATTCAAATTAGTTTTTGCACAAAATATATATCTAGGCATTTTTTATTTGGAGGCTAGGGAAATAAGTAACATGTAAATAATGTTTTGATGTTATTTATGTGTGTCAAAACGAGATAATTGTGAAGCTACATTAAAAAATAATGTATTATAATTTCAAGTTTTAATAAATTTAAGTTTTTTATAGTTTGATTCATAATTATGGAAATAAATCAAAAATGTAATGTGTGTGAATGTGCGCTTTTTGACCTTATAACGAAAGAATATTTTTCCGTAGTAGATGAAACAAAACGAAGCAAACAGTTTCCGTTCATTTCAGGGTTCGAATCGCATTCGGGTAGTTATCATAATACTATTTCAAATCAATATCAGCCTCGAAATCTTCACGTTGTTTCAAGATTTAACTTTCTTATATAAAATCAGTAAAAAATAAATTACATTTTGAGACAGATCACATCACTAAGACGTTAGTAAAATTTAAGGTTAAAATTGGTTACGATTCTTTGGTAAATGGATAAATTTCACTCTGGATTAACATATAGATTAGTTTCTATCACACTAAATGGTGCCCTACGAAGAAAAGTACCTTCAAGTCATCGTATGCGTGAACATTAGCAGTGTTATTAATAAACAAGGTTTATCGACAGAGTAAATTTACGATAAAATTACAATTTTAGTGTTAGTCCAAATTCATATTACACAGAGAATAAGCAAAACCTTCTAAATATCAATCCCGTAGAACCTCGTATTAGGGTACCCTTTGCTAGTTCCCTGTTTAATAATATCATCATCACCCCTTTTACGTCCCCACTGCAGAGTCTCAGGCCTTTCTTATGGATGGTTAAGGAGGATGGGTCATGACCCTCCACGCTGGCCCAATGTGGATTGGAGGGTATTAACGAATGCAAATACAGCCGAGACCAACAGCTTAATGTGCCTTCCGAAGCACGGAGTAGTTCGAGATAGTAATTCTTTGGTCACCCATCCCGTGACCGACCCTTGCGAAAGTTGCTTAACGACAAAGATCGCGGGCCGCGGCCCTTATCCACTACGCCACCGAGTTTAATAATAAGAATTTTGATGTTTAATAATATGAATTTTGACTAATACTAAATGCAGTCTCAGCGTAAATTGACTCCAAAGCTAAACCTTGTTTATGGTGGTCGACTAACTCACCCAGTTCGACATAGAAGTTGTACTTGTTGTGCGAGGGTTGGTGTGCGGCGAGTGAGTGCTCGTCTGTGTCGCGGCGTGCACGTCGAGCGCGCCCCCGCCCCGCGCCCCCACCCCCACCCCCGCCCACCGTGCACGCTGAACTCTCGGACGCTTTACGTGACCGAGACCCTATAGATGCGAGTACAAAACGAAATGCATCAATGACATTGACAATTAATATAGCACGAGAATTAAACTTGCGTGTGTGATGTGCCCAAAAAGCTCTAGCTCTAGAATGAGATATTGAACACACCATTAACACATTACAACAGCAAAATATAGCACGAGAATTGGACCAATGATTAGGTACAATTTTATATAGGACTTAGGCCTTCCAGGGTGGTATGTCCAAAAGTCGCAGATTAATGCAGCTTCGATTTTTAGGCGAAGCCTAGAGGTATAAGTGTCTAACAAAGAGACCAATACAAATATTATAACATTAAATAACTATATTGGTGATATAGGTACCTATACATATTTCTTAGTAATATTTAATTGAAAAATAAAGCTTACCGGCTTCCATGTACGGTGTCTTTTCTTGTTACGTGGTTTTTCTTTTGCTTTTAGTATAAATTATACTGATATGGGAATATCTGCTTAATACATACCTTGTGCTTTATCAATTTCATGTGGAGAAATATTGTTAGGACGCCCTTCGTCTTCGTCTTCTTTCCGTTCTGATGGACTATCGCGTTCTGATATTCGACGTTCCCTGTGTGATAAAAAGTTTTAATCAATGTTATATCAACAATTCAGGTATGACATGAATAGTATTGATGATCAAGAGCGAGAAGAGCGATTATTATTGACGACATCAGGGGCCGTCCATTAATCACGTGGGACTCGCATGCGAATGCGAAATCTTGTCAGTTGTATGGCAATGTTTCGCATGTGCTTTGTCTCGCTCTATTATAAACTCGATGAAATAGCTGCGTCCTTGTCAGTACGCTTTTAACTTTTTTAAAGTTTCGCATTCAGCGTTCAAGGTTGCCACCCGACCCGGTCTGTGCTGACTATCCGAGTATCAAGAATTTTGTTCCTCAAAAGGTGATTTAGAAACAAAAAGGGTGTGTGTGTATACCTATGTGGTGGTGACATATCGAGGCTGCTGTCAGGCGTGGTAGGCGGCGTGTTGTCCAAAAGCGCGTGGCGGCGCGTCCAGCCGGCCCCCGCCCCCGCTCCGCCTGCCCCTCCGCCCTCCTCCGCGCCCCCCGTGCCAGTACCCGCGACACTGCCCGCCCGCGAGCCCGACGCACCGTCCCCACGTCTATCCTCTACACGTACCCAGAAATAAAGCCTCATTTACATTAAGAAAGGAGAGCCAACCCAACTGTACTTCCGTGATGGCGTGTAATCAACGGTATCTCTGGGACAAAGGCTGCGTCCACATTGAAGCTTTACTAAATTAGTTGCGTGAACCTTCATTTAAAAAATACTGCAGGGTCGTGAAACAACATTACTAAAGTAGACAACGGTTCACACGTGCAACTGCTAATGATATTAATGCAATGAAGTTAGTTTCGCGCAACTACCTTAATAATGTAATCCGGCTTAATAGATTATATGTAAACATCATAAATAACAGTAATATTCTGTCTCCTTCTATTAAAACACATACAGTAACAACCACAGACTTATTCTACCATGCCTTTTCTGTGCTCACGTATAAATGGCGTATCGTGATATCTCTTCTTATAATCAACGGATAGTTAAGCGAAGCTTCCCTGCTATAATTGACATGAATACTGCAGGTATAGTTTACAATTTTCATTTGTTCGAAAATACGGAGTAACTACAGTTTCTTCACACAATAATTAAAAACCTTTGCTGTAAAAAATAATCATTTTTTTTACAAAGAAGGTTTTTAATTATTTATATAATTTGATTGTTTATATAATCCATATTTATATAAATTTGCATATCGTAGCACAAATATTTTTTCTTGATCAATTCTTTAAACGAAAATGTATTCGGTGATCATTAGTCAATTTTTTTATTGTTGTTGTCATAACAGTTAAACTTAACTATAATAAAATGTTGCATTTTTCCGATAGGCCTTCACCATGTTGATGAATAAAAATTATTCTTAAATCCTATTTTATATATTGAACTCAAAACGATTATATCTATATATTTTTATTACCGCACCGCTAAAAACTTCAAATTCCAATCGTCACCGTACCCACGCTACGTGAAAAGGAATACACCTTACCTTTCGTGTGGGTATGATGAGGGGGCGCGCACGCAAACGGCATGTGCAACCGTTGCCGCGGCGGCGCCGGCTCGCTGTCCGGTGCGGGCGAACCGGGTATGGTCTCCTCGCACAGCAACAGCGATATGTTGCTGTCCTCCTCCGCCGCGGACACGGGCGCCCCCCCGCCCGCCGCCACCCCCGCCGCGCCCGCGCCCCCCGCGCACGCGGCCCCACTAGTGCCGGCCCCCACGCGCCCGCTGCCCGCCACCACCACGCTGGCGCCTGGATAACACATCAATTAGGCTTAAATACGTTTATTCATTCTCTTTTTTGCATTACAAAATTATATATTTGTTTTGGATTGGATTTCCTATATCTTTGAGCCGGCGATGCGAAAGTTAAACGGGACGGATAAGCGGCTTCTTCGGGCGAGTGAATAAGGACGTAGACGACATTTATAAAAAAGTTATCATTTATTAAATAACTTAAAATCTAAAAATTAATTCAATTTTCTAAATTTCCCGCGAAAACGCCATCTTGTCAGGCGTCGCTAAACTAATATCGTTCTATGTATACATAAGTTTTAATTTTCAAAGTTCTGATATGAGTAAGAGTTTGCGGTCAAGTGACTACAGGTGTAAAATATTTAATTTTACATAATTAATTTAACCAATATTATAAATATAATAAACATAAAAGTGTAATTATAGTTATATTAAACAGAACCAGAAAAACAATAATACGTATTTATTTTCGTTTGCCATTTTCACCCGTATTGTAGCGATATTTTCGCAGTGACATCAAATATAATAAATCAATCTCCATACAACGTTTTCATACTCACTGCGCTTTAGCGAAAGCGCAGCGATCATAAAGCGATAAACATAAACATAGTGCGCTCGCTGCAAGAAGCGAAATCTAGCTGCGCAGAAAAGCATTTCTTAAACAAACTCTACGACGATAAATAGATATACTATATTGAATTCGGTTTGCTCTCACAAAATGTAATGCTTATGTGTATTATCAAGATTTCAAAAGGTTATATCTGCGTCCCGTATTTACATGAACGGTCTACTCACTGTGCTTCCTCTCGTTCTTGCACGCGTCCTCCAGCATGAGCAGCGACTCGCCCGCGCTCCACTCGCCGGGCGACTTGCCCGCGTGGAGTGCACGAGCACTGTGTAACGCTACACTCGCCACGGTACTAACACCCGTTACTGCTGCGTTACTGCGAGATGCCTCTGAGCTGCCGCCACTACCCCACTCTTCTACTGACAGCTTGTCAATTATCAACCTGATTGAAATTATGCTTTATTATAATACACATTAAATTCATATTCGGAAGGCAAGAGTGAAAAATTGAAGCTTATTTAAAAACAATGAGTCAAGATTGTATTCCATTACCTTCTGTCGGAATCATCAGAATCGCTAGATTCACTCCTGTCCTCGTGCGGGAACGGTGGCAAGGGTATAGTGGCCGCCACCGTCGCTGCAGACTGGTTGATCTGACTCGAAAGCTTCTGTATTGTATCGCTTAGCACTTTATTATTCTTCCCAGGATTGCTGAGAGGTAAATCGCAGACGCTCTTCCGCCGCTCCAATATACTTAACGGACTTTGTAATCTCGGAGGCGAGGGATCCTTTGGTTTCACTTTCTTTATATCTGTCAAGTCACGTTTGACATCCGTGATATTCGACGGCTCGCCAAATATCGATTCACCCAAATCCGTTCCACCGAACTTCTTGATTGGTTCATTTATTTTGATCGGAGCTTTAATAGGTTCCACTTTGGTTACGGTTGTTTTGATTTCAGCGTCAATGGGAGATACTTTTCCTTCTGGATTATTGGGTTTAAGTACATCTTTTTTGGGTGTAAGAGGACGATCTTCCACAGGTGGTGGGGACATTGAAAGTCTCTTGGCGCTATTGATAGCTTTGAGCAGCTTCTCTGCTATTTTAGGTCCTTCCGATTGTAACCGGAACCCTGGTGGGGGTTCAGGCAAGACGTCGATTCTAGCCGGACTATCTGGTTCTGACTTATCTTCTTCTGTGTCGATGAGTGGACTGGACGGTGGCTCCAGTTTTGAACATACACTTGGTTCTGGATCCGGCGTGGGCTCTATTTTTTCAATAATTACTTTGAGAATGTTTACGTTTGGCTCTGTTGGAGGCAATGGAATTGAAAGAAGTTTTGGGGGTTCATCTAATGGCGGTACCACATTTGATGGTTCAGGCTTTATCTCTGCCACTGTGTCAATGCAAACAATGGGTGTAATAGTTGTGTTTGGAAGTTCTATTTTCTTAGGTGGCGGAGTTTTAGGCGGTTCAGGTAAAGTTAGTTTTGCTTCTTCTTTTATCTCTTCGACTGTTTTATCTTCTGGATTATCTGGTACTGGCTCAACTATCATTTCCTCTTGTTGCACTTCTGGTTGTGGTGACTTGGGAAGATCTACCATCGGTGCGAGTGAACTAGACTTACTTTCGTCGTCTTCATCTTTCATGGTAATATCTTCGGATTCATCTTCTGATGATTGTTCGTCGTCAGCGGGACTGTCAGGGGAATCGTCTATTAACTCTCTCAATTTAGATACTTTGCTCTTTTTAGAATAGGTCTCTTGATTTTTTGCCGGAGTAAATCCTTCGAAAATAGGTCCAGAACTCCCTTCGCCAGGGAAGGAATCATCGTCTAACGAGAATAATCCATCCTTTGAATCGTCTTCTGGACTCTGTTGTCCAGGAACATCTCGAGTAGTACCAAAATCCCTAAACGGCGATAATGAAGGGGACCTAACCGTCGAAGGACGTGGCCTTAACGGATCCTCTGATATCTCTTCACTCAATGATTTGGATAGAGTGGAAGTGTATTTACTTGGAGAAATATCATCAAAAATTCTATGTGTTCGTTTCTTTTTTTCATCATGCAGTTCCAATTCAAAAGGTTCCGGCTCCTTGAATTCATAAACATCTTCAGGTTGCTTGTCGGGTTGAGGAGGTTCCGGTGGGGGAGCTGATACTTGAGACGGGGGCATGATCTCTGCATCTTGGGCCTCCTGTTTTGGTTCATCTGGTTCTTGCTTGACCGTGTGTAATCCTTTTAATTCCGATCTGATTTCATTAAGATCGTAATCGCGACCTTGGTGCACACCAGACGGAGACGGGCGCATTTTCTTCGCAGGTGTCACGTTAGTAGGAGTCGAAATATTTCTTACAGGCCTCTTGCGAGGTTTGCTCGAGCTGCTACTGTCGCTGGACTTTGCGTCTTTCGATCTAGTCGGAGCTGTAAATAAGTAACATAATGAATTACGATTAAGTAAATACTAAAGGATAAAATATATATCTTTATATAGCCTTACTTTTGGATTTACTTTTATCATCCAGTTTTTTCGGAGGCCTCTTAACACTTTCATCGCTGTCGGAATCGCTATCAGAATCGGACCGAGCTGAAGATTCTGTGGAAGTTATCATAAATATATAACATAAAGTAGATGTTAACAATCAGACCTTATTGTTTTCTTTAAATAGTCTTTATACAATCTATTTTTGCCTATAATTCGCTCTACAACTATTCTTGTATCTTTGCTTTTGCTTTCTATATTACCAGCCTCTGAATTTATATTTTTATCGTTTCCTTCTTAACATACTCTTTCGTTAGAAGTCTTACCTTCAGTCCGTTTAGGTCTGACGCGGCGACTATTACTCGTATTCTATAAGAAAAGATTATTCATTATTGAAACAATAATCCTCTAAAATATATGTACTGATGTTTTTCTTTAAATAAAATTACCTTTTTATTGCGTGCCTCGTGTTGCGTGACATTAAGTGCGATACGCTGAGGTTTTATCCACTCGTCGTAGCGGTTATTCCACCCGGTATAGTGAACTCTAAGCAAGCCCTCCGCCGATACCTCTATCACCTTCGCTTCGTACGTCACCTGCGGAATTTCCGCAAACTTAAACATATTAAATAATAATATTATACTTGTTATGTAGAGTTCTAACATGTATGTAAGATGTTACGTAGAACCAATAAAATAATAGAAGTGAGTAATGATGAATTGCAGGGAAGACAGATAGATTCAAAGTCATTATTCTTAGACACATATCATTCAATCCTTGTGATTCATAACTTACTTTTAATCTATAATAACGTTAACATAACTCTGTCACTTAGAAATGTATTATTAATAAATTAAATAACAAGAATTTAAATTTGTACTTGAACTGTACCTTTGACTCAGACTGCGTCGGCCCATAATAAACTTTTAATTTATCGCCAACTTGCGCCTTCACGTTTGCTCCTGAAGAACGTGTAGGTTCACTTGTGGATGGTCTGTATGCAATGATAAAAAAATGAATTATTTTATCTAGTTAAAAAAATAAAAATTCGGAAATTCTCATAGACAATATTCTAGCAGGTCTAGTAAAACTATAATATAAAATGATATGTGCTCACTCGGTGGTCTTCCTCTTGCGCGGACGCTTGCTACTGTTGGAGGCGATAGTATTACCGCTACTCGCAGAGTTCGCACTTTGACTGCGGCGACTTTGCAACTTCTTCGTTAGCCCGCATCTTTATTAAAAAAGAAAGACAATAAAGACGTACAGTTTGCACAAACAAGCAATACATATTTACTCTACTACTTGTGCCGCACCGCACTCTTGACTGATTCCCAACCCAAATCAAGAATTGATGACTGACCTTATAATTTGAGTAGTTTAGATTAAATTTTCTGTGCTTTGAAATTTAACCTTCTGCACAGTTATATCAGTGAGATATCTCGGTTTAATTATGCTTTGAATTAGAATTTGCTTAAATGTATAAAAAAGATACATAAAAACCGGTTAAGTGTGAGTCGGACTCGCGAACGAAGGGTTCCGTATCGGAAACAAGAAAAAAAAATTAACATTTGTTGTAGTGGAGCCCCACTAAAACATTTAATTATTAAAGTTACTATATATAATGTGTAAATATTTCAAACGTCTACCTGTTGTCGTTATCAATATTGAGCAAAAAAAAAACACATTTATTGTATGGGAGCATCTTAAATATTTATTTTATTCTGGTTTTTAGTACTACTGAAGCGGCAAAAGAAATATCTCATCTGTAAAAATTTCTACTTTCTAACTTTCAAAATAAAGAAAATCCTACATTTAAATGAATTAATGAAATAAAAAATATAAAGACTAATTAGGAACATTTGTGTCATGATAGATATGTAGCATTATTTTGCTTACCTGGACGCACGTCCAGAACTGTCGCTATCGGTGGAAGCGTGCGGGCGACGTGATGCACGAGATGTATTAGAAGTAGCGCTCTCGCCTTAAAAATGAAAAATTAAATTAATAGTCATTTACCAATTATCTAAGTATCTAACGGCTGATGAAAATTGAGAAAAATACAATATCTCGAGTGATTTTTCACAATAACTTAAGTTTTTTACGTAAACATGGCAAAAAGTCCTAGTTTATATCAAACTGATATCAATCATTTAAAAAATTAAAGACTGAAAGGAAAACCTGTTTAAGTAACAGTTGAAATGGCTTAAGTGCAGTTTGAGACGGGCTTAACTTTAAATTCTCCATTCAGAAACCAGGTGTGCGAGTCTTTTATTTTTGATGGCTATTACATTGTTACAAAATTTCATTGACTAAGGTTGGGAAGGGCTTAATACATATTTTGTTTACTTACTCTTGGATGACAATGGCCTTCTCTTTGGGGTCCGTTTATCCCGAGACTCTAGTTTAATGGGCGGCATAGAACGCGTTTTTGATTGAGAGCGCGGTTTTATCGCACTCTTCTCTTCGTTGGGTGACAAAGGTTTCTCTTTTTCTTTTTCCTTTTCTTTCTCTTTCTCCTTTTCCTTTTCTACTTCCTTATCTTTCTCCTTCTCCTTCGGAATTTCAGTCTCTTTTTCTTTTTCCTTCTCTTTCTCCACCACCTCCTTTTCTTTTTCCTTCTCCTTTTCAACTCTATTAAGAATTCAAATACAAATTTTAATGATCAAGCAAAATACTTCCTTATATCCACATCTCAAGTTAGATTCCGATTAAAAATATATGTAAATAAATTTAAATATAAGTGTATAAATTTCAAATTTACATCAATCTTTGTCATTATCAGTAAAACCACATTAAACTTTAATGCTATATAAATGTTCTTTGTAATATAATATTCAAAGAAAACTACTTATACTTGACTTACTTTGGAGCAACCGTTGTGGTGACTATAAGCGGTTGGTTGTCAGCGCTATCCTCGCCGTCACTAGCACGCTGCTTCTCCTTTTGCTTTTCAGGTTTCTCCACTTTGTCTTCTTTTTCACTCTTCTCACTCTTGTCAGTTTCACTTTTATCAGAGTCCTTGTCCTTTCCACGCTGAAAAAAAAAATTAAAGTTACTTTCAAACACATAAATGGTATTGTATTTGCATATTTTCATATTTCTTAAATATAAATATACCGTCAGTTGCACAAACATCCATTGAGGTTTAAGGACGCCTTTAAGCTCTAATGAATGTCAAATTTGTAGGAGTAATGTCGCTTTAAACTAATGAAAATTTAATGGATGTTTGTGCAACTGGCTGATAGTGTCTAAAAACTCCAAAAATATGTTCCGAATTATAAGCTTAAGAGGAGTTGTAGTGTCATCCAATGAGAATGATAAATTGAATAATTGCATGTTTGTGTAGGCGTGCAGATGTATCGGGTGTATGCTTTTTTATGTATGATGAAATCCACACCAGTTTTTGTGTATGTGTGTGTGTGTGTGTGTGTGTGTGTGTGTGTGTGTGTATGTGTGTGCGTGCGTGCGTGCGTGCGTGTGTGTTTTATAGATAGATAGGTGTTTTATAGATGGATATAATATTGATACAGACTTACATAACATGCTATGACTCATAATAAGCGAACATGTTCTTTATTTACATAATTTATTCTAAAGTGTATGTGAGGAATCGCCCGACTACAGAGCAAGTATCGATAATAATTAATCTCTCTAGTAAAATGATACCGGTTGATGAGATTACAGTTGCAATTATATTGACCATATGTTGATGCCACATTTAGTTTGTTTCGTCGGCCAGCGGAATGTATTTTTGAATTTAATCTGTATATTACGGTAATGTCTATAAGGCATGTAATTTTATTATTTCCTAATGTTAATATAATGTCGGGTCTATCGCTTGTAACCACCACAAGCTACACACAAATAGACCTGACATTATTATTATTATTATTACCTGCGTGGGCGTGCCAGTGGGTGTGGATGATGCGGACGAGGAGGTGGGCGGTTGTTTGTCCCTGTCCCGTATGAGGGACCTACCGGCGGGCGGGGTGCGGGCGCCGCGCGGGTGGGCCACCAGGGTCACGCCCAACTTGCGGTAGAAGTCCTCGAAACTGTGCAGGAACCTAAGGAACAATCGCATTGGCTTTATGTCTTATAATTGCCTTAAACATTAATATATCTTTATTATATTTGATAAATTTTGCATTCACACTGGAAAATACTCTTAATGAAAAATGCTTAAAAAAGTCGCCCGGAAGGGTAATCCCATCTCAGAGTACCAGGGACTAAGTGGATTTTTAAGCATTTTTCATTAGGAATTAATATTTCTTATTCATTACGTCTAAAACAAAAATAAAACATCGAAGCAATAATAGCAAGCGATGACGCGTTCAATTCTACAGAGTATTATGTGACCGTTGAAAGAAAATGTCGTTATTCATTCATACACGTTTGCATCGTTTCCACATAGTACTACTGTTTTATGGGCTGGTCAGTAACATCAATACCATGTGACAAAACGAGTTCTAATAACGATCAATTTTAATTAAACTTTCTTATGATGATGGTGAAAATTTTTATTTGGTTATGATTGGGCTGGCGTGAATACTAACTTCAAAAGCCCATCAAAAATAAGAATAAATAAAAAAAATATAGTACTTTAATATCGTGATATTATTTTTACATACATATTGCTTTTATATTGGAAACTCTGAACATTATTACCTAATAAATCCTAATTAACCTAAATAAAATGCTATATCTGCACTCCCTGTATATAGATACTCACTTTTTGTATGCTTGCTTGCAAAGATTAGTAATACTTGTAGTGACTGGATGGAATCCCATCTTGCCGGCGATGGTCTTCCATTGATTTTGATTAGTAACCCTATTGTAGCCTCCGAGTTTTTGTACTACCTAAAATAGAGAATAACAAAATCAGTTGTGTATTAACAGAAAGAGCTTTTAGGATAATTTATAAATGATCAGTACTTACTCTGAATAGTCTATACAAATCTATGTCCCTGTTCGCAATAGTTGGATTTCTGTTGAGTGGAGTTCCACGGTCATCCATGAACTTGTATAACTGCGCTACGAAATGATCTTTCTCTTCTCGTGGCTCATCATCTGAACTCTGTGAAAAGCAAATGGTGATATTGGAATCTATATGATTTAAAAAAAAGGAGGATTAGCTCTGAAGTACTTTAATGAGAATATAATGAGTATTTGAAAAATATATTAGCAGAATGTTTCCACTATTCTTAAGTTTTGCGCTTAGGACATTTAAAGATTAATTTTTATTATAAGAGTGCAGTGACAAATAACGATATTAATTACATTTTAGTTTTGTATTATTATTACTTGTATACTTACGTCATCAGAAGTATTTCTTGGTTCATTAAACAGAGCATCTCGATCCCAATGTGGCGGCAGTACCCCATTATTGAGGTATTGTAAGGCTGCTTCCACACCAGCCCATTCCAACGGCGCACTGCCTTTGCGGAATTCCCGTGCTTCTTTCTTAGGTACTGTGTAACTAGTAGATCACACAGTAAAAATAATGTTAATTAAAAGTTGCAATATATACGCGAGACATTGCGTATATATTGCAACTTTTGCATTGATGGGGGGATTTTGCTAGTGTTAGTTATTACACGTGATATAGGGATTTTTTTATTTATTTAGTGAATATGTGGAATTACGAAATAGTGTTTGTATTTAGTACTAACAGCTGGTATTGGTAAATATTTCTAGATTTCTGTTTCCCTGTCCTTTCCACTGATTACAAAGTGATGAAACTAACATTCTAAATTTATTTCATCGTATTATAAACTCATGTATATATTTAAATCTATTTAATATTAATTTGTTACTAATTTGACCTCTGTGTTATCTAATTTTTCATTATTTATCTTACATTACATTAATAATATTTCTATAATTACGTGTTCTGTTCTCAAATGTTATTTGTATTGTACAAGTTGTGATGTAGTTGTGTGTTGTTGTATGAATAAACTATTTATCTATCTATCTATCTATCTATCAATGGAAAGGACCCCTGCTGAACCCCTGGACTTTCCAATCATGGTAGTTGTTGGTAGTGACCAATGATGGAACTTTCTCCCGCGTTATTCACACAGACAGGAGTTTAATGTCGAAATGAAGATAAACCTGAATTGATTAACACACCTTAAAGAATAATCACAGAAGTTAGTCAGACAGACGCCACACTCTCCCGGTCTATACACCCACCCATCTATAAATGAAACTAACAAACAGTCCTACTAGAAGAAATCGCCCTACCCAAAACCCATCAGCAGTCGATATCACAGTTGCTCTCCTTTCCTAGCATCAAATATGTCTTGGACCGTATTAAGTAGCATAGATGACATCGACCGTTATTGAATTTTGTCGTCCTTCGTCGACGAATCGGCCCCCTCCCTTACTACAATGTTGACTTCACAAGACAGACTGGTCAGCTTACTTTGACACTAGACAGTAATGTAGATGGCCTTCCTACAGTAACTACTGAAAATAGTACCAAAGCTTACGATGCGTTACTGGAATGCCGAAAAAAATATACAGTCACTCCATGTGTATAGAAAATTTCGTTCCCTTCCAGCAATTTGCTGTGTAACATAATAAACTTTTCAAACAAAAAAAAGAGCAGGATTGAATAAATTCTGTGAAGCTTTGTCACCTGGTACTCCCTCAACAATATTCTGGAATCAACTCGAGAAATTTCATAGAGCTAGCAATCGTCGTAACTTGACTGCCAACGATTCCTCAAACTGACAAATTAGCTCCCCATCTGTCCTAATATTGTCTGCCTTCCCATCAACCCCAATATTTATCATAATATTTACAATATTTGAAATTCCACAAATAAAAGAAACTTTTTATTTTGAAGAACTTCAAAAAGTGCTTTCTGGTTTAAAAGATACGTCTCCAGGTCTAGATGAAATTCCATAGTTATTTTTAACTAGGGTCTCAAACAAAGTAAAGCAATGTTTCTTAAAACTAATTAACCTTTTCTATGATAATGTTTTTATCCCCAAAGAATGGACAAAACAGATCATGATACTACTACTAAAACCAGGTAAAAAACCACCCGATAACTCCTCTTATAGACCTATAGCTCTCTTGTTAGTTCTCTTTGTGGAGCATATAATAAAGAATCGCCTAGAGAGGTTTGTTGAAAAGGTATAAAAGGCTATACCTATATGCTATATAGGTATAAAAGGTATAAAAGGTATAAGAGACATAAAGGAAATCCTAGTCAGTTGTATTCCAATGTGTATCTACATATGACAATGTTCTCTGCATATGACAAAATTCTTATTCTGGTGCTTAGGTAGAAAATGCAACATCTGAACATCCCACAGAAATTAGTTTGATTCATTAGAAATCTGATAATGGCCAGGTCCATCTTGATAAAATCTTAAAATCGTTCATTGGCTAGGATGGTATTGAAAGGCCTACTACAAGGATCGGTTTTTAGCCCAATACTCTACAGTTTATACACTTCAATATAGAACTTTGCTGAATTCCTTTTGCTAGATTTTATAATACGCAGATGACATAGCACTTTATGTCAAAGTGAAATCAATACCGGTAGCTACCTCAAATCTTATATCGGTGATTGATTGTATGACCATGGACTATCCATCTCGACACCAAAATGTAGCACAGTAATCTTTACAAAGAAGCGAAACATTCCTGCTACAAACATCAAATTTTTAGGACTTCCCAGTTGACATTAAGTCTTCAGTAAAGTTCTTAGGAATGATACTGGACTCTAGAATCACGGCTATTGAGCATTTCAATAATATACATGCCAATAAAGTAGAAAAAACAAAACCTTGGTATATAAAAGAAACATATTCCCAAACAGGTTGTTTCAGTGTTATGTCGTCTCCGCATTGGTCATTCAAGCTCTCCAGATCATTTGGCCAAGATTAATGTTAGTGACAATTTCCTTTGGTCTAGATGAAAGATCTGTTGAACACATACTATTTGATTGTTCCAAACTTCAGTATTCCCTGTATAATGTACTAAGAAGAAAAGCATCACTGGGAATATGAATCCTTATTTCAATGGAATGATATGGTACATTTCACATCAAACTTCAGAGAAAGAATGAAAGATTAAAGCTTAATACCAAAAAGGCAAAGACACAATACATCCATTTCAATGATTGGTATGTGTAATAAATAGTAAGTTTAAACCAAAAATTATAAAGATAATGTAAGTAATCTAAGGAAATGCTTCCTTAGATTACATACATTATCTTTATAATTTTTCCAACCAGTAGAATCCTATGGGGGTCTGCAGCAAATGTGGACCAGTGGATATCAATTCAATAGTAACATCTACTCCAATATAACCGATTTAATTGCAAAAAAAAGGCTAATTATCCATATGAATGTGTATTATGTACAAACCTAAATTTTTAAAAGGACCATTTCTAGTGTTTTTTTTTTTGAGGTTTGGGGACCAAAAAAGGGTAAGAATATCTTTTTTTAAAGATTTGGGGACCAAAAAAGGTTACTAATCTCAAGTGTTAACTTACTATCTTCCGTCCTTGAAAGAGCGCACCAAATAATCTTCCTTGACTTTAATCTGGGCAGTGGGCGCCACGACTAGAGCAGGGAACGCCGGTTGATGCGGCCTCCTTCTCTCAGCACCACTGGCCGCTTCAACTAACACTACGCGGCCGACGTGCGGCTCTCTCTCTGCACTGTTCTCTTTTACGCGACGAGTGGGGCCTTCGCCTTCACTTTCATCCGACCTGACAAACAATAGACTGATTATAGATTCTGCCATACCAAAATAAGACCATTATCACAATACAAATCTTACGTGAAATACAAAGTTTTCCATTCTTATAGCAACTTGCTGATACAACACTTAAAATTTTAAAGTACTCACTGTGCTCTTCCTCTTCGCCCTCGGCGTCCTGCAATAACAGGCGTAGAGAAATGTTCTGGGTGTGTGAGAGGCAACTGATCTAATGTTTCACTTTCATTAAAGTGTCTGCCACTTTTCAGACACAGTGCTGATCTCCGGAGTGTTGTTATATCTCCATCATCAAACACTAAAAACAACAAAGAACAAAACCTTTTTATTACGATTACATTATTGGGAATTTCTAACATTGTTCAATTAGCAATCATGATGTCTGATATATAACAGAAATGTAATATTTTACTTTCATTTTAAACAAAAGTGCAAATGAACACTTACCAACAGTATACTGGCTGCAGTCTTGAATCTTGGTGATGATGGCTTCCATTACATCTTTCTTGGGGTCTTGTTTCACTTCAACTGTGCTTCCTACCCTTAGGGTACCTTTGATAACATCATCATTTACAGTAATGGAACCACCTCCTGCTTTTGGTGTGACCTATGCAACAAAAACAATTTAATTTTGTTGACAGAAAAAAATGTATACTCAGACTGTATATTAATATATATGCTATTATAGTATAAGTTACATTAGTTTGAAACTCACTCGGTCAGTTGCACAAACGTCCATTACGGTTTAATGACGCCTTTAAGCCCTTATGAATGTCAAATTTGTATCGGTAATGTCGCTTTAAGCTAATGAAATTTTTAATGGACGTTAGTGCAACTGGCTGATTATCTTATAGCTCAGTTTTTATGTTTCGGCTTTAATACATTTCTGTATTATGGCAAATGACTTGTAATATTTGCACGTCTTCCTGACGACAAAATATGCTGGATATTCAAAAATTGATAACAACTTATAAGACCATATTTTTGCAAATAAAGATTTTATTATTATTATTATTATTATCTGACAAACATAATCAAGAAAAAATAATATAAAGTATATATGAGGTGCTTTTGAAACTTACATCTTCATGTACACAAAAGTAAGCCTAATAAATTTTGCAGAATATGGCAATTATAAAGCACAAAAAAATAATGTACTTTCTAGTCTTACATATACTCGTATTTCAAAGTATACATTTAGCATTTATTTAAATTTTATATAAACTTAAAACTATTTTTCACTAAATATGTTGAAAATTACTTTAGCATAAATACTATTACTACTATTATTATTATTCAAGTGTCTGAATAAAGAAATAAAACGCTTCTTACCTTACATTTTATATTTCGTACTACTTTTTTGATCTTAGCTTCACAAAATGCTCCTTTGTATTTAGCACTGACATCAGTGCCAACAGGCAAAAAGGGAGGGTCATCCCCTTGCTAAAAAGAAATGAAAAATGCTGATAAATATGTAATTCTTCTTCTTAACTTTAATGGCACTTTGTGTCACCACAATACTGCCAACTTCACATAGGAGACTCTTACACAATTTAAATACATTCATTCAACCAAACAATTTTGAATTAACAATACTTTCTTCATGGATTTACCAAAAACAACACAGTAAACGATTTTAATATGTTAATTAAGGAATAATTTTATATAAACACTCATTTAATCAGAATCATTTTGAGTCTAATTCAATTATCATATTATGGTTTCATGGCTATTGTCAATGGTTTAAAATAATATGGTGACTAAAAACTTACCATCTTTTCAGAAAACTTCAATATCTTGAGTATAAATCAAGTAACCTGGAAATAATACTACAATATAAATAAGTCAAAGTAGGCTTAAAAAATGTATTACGCCCAATTTCACCAATGTCCTCTAAACTGTTACATAACTATGTGTCCTTTAAAATAAAAGTACCCCTAAATAATCCACTACATAAAAATATGTTTCACCAACTGAACAGACCCATATGTATGTGACAGATTTTTTTAATTATTAAGAATGTGATGACCATAACTTATAACCGATTATTATTTTAATTCTGTATACCATACAATTGAAGCTTGTTTCAGTGTAATAATTTTTGGTTTTTCACATGCGGGTCATAAATGAAGTAAAAATAAATAATGATAACGAGTTTTCCATAAGTTAGGGTTGGATAATTGAACTCCTTTGCGTAACATAGAATATTTTATAAAAAGTCGAAATATCTGTACTACTATTATTGTCAATAATCAATTTAGTGATATATGTTTATTTTTATTTAGTGTTAATTTTTTTGAGTATCCAAGGCGCAAATCAATATAGCTATTATAAATTTTATATAGAAAAAGAATATCAATTATCTTATGTCGGCATTCTAAGCTCAAGACTTTGAAGTGCATTAACTGTGAATTATATGATGGTAAACAATTTATCAACCCACATTGATAAGACAAGTGCCATAAAAATCTTTTTTTGCATGGATTCCAAACGGTGTTTATGCACATTGTAATATGGTGACCAAATCACACTGCAATATCCCATTGTAGATAACACCAAAGCATTAAAAATTGCAATTGTACTGTTAGCATATCAAAACTCTTTGCAATTCCTCAAAATGACACCTAACAATTTGAAGCCTTTTTTGGCAATTTTATCTACATGGAAGGGAAGTTTATCTCCAAGATGGCGGTGTCAGACGGATTTACCTATATAAACACCAAGGTCTCATACTAAATATTATTAGCAAATCTCAAATGGAGTACTAAACAATGCACGGATGTAAGCCATCTGTTCAGCTAAAAATCTTTACATTTTGTGTATTACTTTCAATACTTTTGTATTTGTCGGAACCTTTCTCTATTACAAATTTGTTAATGTGAATCTTTGTGAAGAGATTTTAGTATTTTAAGGTTTTTGTTTTAAAGCACTAAAATATTTCTTACCTATTGTAATGAAACTCCAAATCCTTTTCTATTTTCTCTAATATAAATAAATCACTATTCCTTTATATTTTATTCATCTAAATATATGATTTAAAAAAGACCATGTTGTTGTATTTATTTAAATAATCAGGTTGTTCCTGTATTATGTCTCTGTCTCCTAAATAGTGTATTTTCTGATAATAAATCGGAAATTTTAAAACCTTCTACAAAATCAAACAATTCAGTATCCATTCTTAAATCTCCATAACAAATATTTTAACTCTGCCTGACCACTATCTCATATTAAAACACTCTTATAAACTGTCACATAATGTTATGGGCTCGATATTCGATCCCCTAAACTTAGAAGTCCTTTTAGAACCGTAGGGGGCACCTAAGCGTTGGTGAAACGCAATAACGTAGTTAAAGAGCACCTAACCAGGTTTAGGGGTCCCCTTAATTTAGGGGACATTAGTAAAATCGAGCATTAGTCATGTAAAATATACAGCTTGTTAAGTCTTAAATAAAGGCTTTGGAATACAATATATTTGAGTGACAGTTATGATCAAGTCGAAGCAAAACAATAAAGACGTTTCTAGGTCTCGTGAAGTTGCTATACACACGTATTTACACCTGTATAATGAGGGTTACCTATTTTGTAATATAAAACGACGTATTAAGTAATGCCAAAGTGTGAAAAACATAACTATATGAAAAGCTATGGTTTCCAATTAAATTAATTTTTAAAAATTACCCATTGCATGGAAGCGAAAGTAGATTGCGCGGCAATTAACAAAAAATGATAGTTTAAATCATACTAGTAGAAAGATTAAAAAAACATCTGACCTTTTATGAGTTATAAATACAAGAAGCTTTTTTTAATGTTGATAGAATTTGTTAATAAACCACGAGCCATTAAAATTACAAGTATAACAACGAACAAACAAACACCATTTTCCCTTTTTTATCCACTGACACAGCAGCACAGCAGACAGAAAGCGAAGAGTAAAGTTTAAATAACACGAAATCGCATGAATAGATAAGGATTAGGGCGACCTATCCATCTCTTCTCTAATCGGTACACGAGTATCACGAGGATACAAGAAAATCGGTATACATTTTTAGATTAAACCATAAAATATATACTTAAATATAAACAGAGTAAACACAGTTTTATTTAATTTATTAATTATATAATAACTTAAAAGGAGTATGAAAAAATATTTCATTTATGTTTGATATGTTTAGACCATTTCATAAAAGAGTTTCCTTAGTATAATAACTTACTAATATATATATATATAACTAATATAATAAAGTAATAAAAGAAAACATTGTAATACAAAAGACTTCTATCGTGTAACGAACTTTAATTTTTTCTTTGCTTACGTTTTATGGTTCATTACAGAGAAATATGTTAGATTATAATGTCAATAAGCGATGGGTGATTATTACTTTAAAAAATCGAATTAGTCGATTGTTCGGCTTAGTCGATAAAAGTCGATTACAATTGATGTTATTCGATTGGAGTTAACAACTAAACCTTGCGGCGGTAGCGGGCGGCTATGACATGCTGCGTCTCCCGTCATTACTTATTCGATCATTATTTTTTTTTATAGGATAGGGGACAGACGAACAGACGGATCACCTGATGGCAAGTGATTACCGTCGCCCATGGACACCTGCAACACCAGAGTGGCTAATTGGTTATTTAGTTGTCTGTTTATTGTCAATACACCGATTTGAGGGCACATCCATTCGATCGTCGCAATGTAGTTTTTACTTATCCACACTATCGAGCGACGAATAATGTTGAAATATCATACAAACAAACCTTGAAATGTACCATCGCTAACCTACTACATTTTTTTAGAGTTCTGACCCGAAAGGGTAAAAACGGGACCCTAATACTGAGACTTCGCTGTCCGGCCGTCCATCCATCCATCCGTCCGTCTGTCACCAGGCTCTATTTCATGACGGTTCATGAACCATGATAACAAGACAGTTGAAATTTTCACAGATGGTTTATTACTGTTGTCGCTACAATATAAACATTTAATTGGGCTTCCATACAACGAACGTGTTTTTTTTTGCTCCTTTTTTTGTTCGCTTCTGGTATGGAACCTTTCGTTATGAATAATAATATAAATACCAACTAATTACTAATAAAGTAAGCAAACAATGAATGCAACATCATAATACTCCACGCAGTTAACCGACCGCACGCGCATAGCACAGAATGATCACATGGTGTGCGTACAGTTAGTAGTTAAGACGATTGTTATTCGAATAATCATGGCAGGAAACTACTAAGTCGACAATCAAATGCCCAGTAGTGTAATTTTTGATTCAGTCGATCGTTTTTTTTTGCAACAAACGCCCATCGCTAATGTCAGTGATTCAAGAGAAATGTTTTATTATTGTTATATTAATTAGTTTTATTATTGTTATATTAATAACAATAATAAAACATTGACATTATGAAACGTGTATACTGAACCTATGAATTGTCAATAAATATTAACGAATATAGGCTTTTTAAGTTCCGATATTAATAGAAATAACTAACGGAAGCAATATAGAATATTACACAAAGCTTGGCTTAGATGGCAATATTAGCATTATAGTATTTTACCTTATCCCAACTAAAGTGACGAATGATATAAACAAACAATTAACCGCAACTATTTACGGAGTTTTTGCAATGATCAAAAAACGAAATGCAATCGAAACTAATTTGTTAACTTACGAAACATATCGGTAAAAACTTTTGAGAAATAAGCAGTAAAATCTCGGTTTTCACGAAAATAATACATTCTAAACTAATAATTGACGTACCACTGACAGTTCGAAAAAAAAAAAAAGAACTAGAAATGAGAACATATGAACGAGTGATTGAAAGAACACCTCAGTCGGGCATATTGAAATAATTTATAAAAAAATGTTATTTTGTAGTAAATATATATCAAAATGTCTTTGGCGTAAAAAAGAATACTAAAAAAAAATAATAAACTAATTTACATCTTCAATGAAATACGTATAAATAAAAAAGTTTGAAAGAAATAATTTGTTAGAATTAGTTTCAACATTTTGTGTCATGCACAGTAGCAATTGTCGCTACAAAAAATCTACTGCACTGTAATATTTCTATAGTTTTGTTCAAGTTCTTGTGCGTACAGTTAATTAGAGAATGATTCCAATTAGACGTTTGTTTCTACAGGAATTGTCCCAAACGGCGTGAAGGCAAACGAATTTGTGGGGCGTGCGGCAGCAAATGCCGAATCTCATGTTGTCCGTTAGTTCGCTCAGTCTGGACTAGTGTTGCCAATTGTACTATAACATATTATTTTGTGTTATATTTGGGTAAAGTGTATTTAAAAGATAGGCTATCCCGCTTAAGAAGTTGAAGTATCATAAAGTAGTCACCGGTTAAAAAAAAATCACACTGAAAGTGAAAGGTTTGTCATGATAGTCAATTTGTGTACATAAATATGATCAGCGACTAGAAAAACCTCATTTTGTTACATTTTAAAGTCAGACAGAGAGAACTGACAATTCTGTTTCAATTTATATAAATTTCATGCAAAATTTAAATTAATCAAATTCATAATAATATGTCCCATCACTAAAACTGTCATGTCGCCACATTTGTTTACATCTTGTGCCACTTTAAATAAAACGGAGTATACTTTAATACTAGGCAAAATACCACAACGCACAGCCACTACGATTAAGCAGAAAAAAAAAGTGACACAACACAAATGAACAGTGAACACGTCAAGTCAGTTTTTTTTAATAGCGATTGAAACGAAAAGATGTTTTAGAGATGTATTTGTTGACAATTTTCATATTCTTCAGTGCTTTATAAATCTAATGAAGTGAAGTTTTGGTACACGAGTTAATATAAAAATGAAGGCAATACTAGCAACTGTAATCAGCCTGGCCCTAACAACTGTGGTTATTGGCAATGCCTATTATCAGAAAAAACAGTTTTATCCTTCAATAGTTTACCTTACAAACTCGAATCCTAGTATGGCTGTAAGTATATTTATTTAATTCTTCTATTAATTTGTTTCCAGGAATAATTTGGTTGAATCCTTTGACAAAGGACACTATATTCAAAACTTCAGTATTGGAGTAGTTTCTTTTTTAAATATTAATTTTATAATTAAAGTAGACTTTATAATATTTTATTATATACTTACTATTTCATTTAATAAATATTATAATGGTAAAAGAAATCGAAAATTTGTTTGTCATTTTTATTGTGGTGTTTTCATAATATTTCTTTTTTCAGGTAATGTATTTGCAAGCTTTCATACTAGTACTTCTTGTTGGTAAGTTATTGCGAAAAATATTCTTTGGACAACTTCGCCCTGCAGAATTTGAGGTGAGTATATAAAGTATTTTATTAAAACATTCTTATTCAGTTAAAATACTTGTGTTTCTAGAACCTTCTTCCTAATTACTACAGGTTAATTTGCTAGTTTAGTAATACTTGTAATGTTGATTGCTGTGATTAAGAATATTAATTATGTTTCATAAACTGGATTTTTGGAATTTTAATGTTATTTATAAATGTCTCAATTAGATTTCTATTTATTGGGTGTAAATTGTAATAACAAATACGCACTTAGAATAATGTTATTAATATTGACTTAGCTATTTTTTTGTAAAGGTAATGTGGTATATAGGATGTCAAAATTTTATAATTTATTTATTATATCATAAGAAGACCTACAACTAATAAACAAAAATAGTATTAAGAATAGTAAGCAGACAGCCAGTTACAGATCCTCAAAAATATGATACAAAGTTTATACATACAATACGATTGTATACAATTAAAGTTGACAATGGGAAAAATAATTGCTTAATGCATTTCTTAAATCAAATCTGAAAATATTATAAAAGTTATCAAAATCATCACTTGAGCACCAGAAAAAAGTTTTGCCTGTAGTTTGTGTGTACCAGGGGTAGATGTTTACTAAATAGTTCAGGATAGTCAATTGAGTTGGATCCGATTTTCAATAAATACATAAGGTTGTTAATATCACATAATATATAAACTTATTAGTATTTGCTTGATATTTCAGCATTTAATAGAAAGATCCTGGTATGCCATAACCGAAACATGCTTAGCATTCACTGTGTTTAGAGATGATTTCAACCCAAAGTTTATAGCATTATTCACTCTATTGCTATTCTTAAAAGCATTCCATTGGCTTGCAGAAGATAGAGTTGACTATGTAAGTATTTTATCAGTAAAAAAAGTTTTGTGAACTAAAAATATATTTTGTGGCTGCACATCAGACTATACATTCTGGATTTTGTACTGACCGAGTTCCATATAAAACTTCTCTACTTACAGAGATCTGCTTATGGTATTGGTGTATAGTGTGACATGCAGCTCTGCGTACAATCACATATCATATTAATGAATCCTTAAATATTTTAGATGGAAAGGAGTCCAGTGATAGGATGGGTGTTCCATGTGAGAATTTTGAGTCTGCTAATGTTGTTGGCTCAGGCAGATTTGTATTTCATCTTCCACGCATATCAAGTTACTGCAACCAAAGGCCCATCTGTGCAGCTTGTATTTGGCTTCGAGTACAGCATACTGATTATTATGATTGCAAACATTCTGATCAAGGTTTGTTAAAGATAAATTACTTATCAATGTGCCTGAACTATATACCAATTTGATTGTGAATACTTATTGAAACAGACAAATATTATAATAATTCTAAAGCCCAATTTATACATAACTAGCTTTCCCCCAGCGGCTACGCCCGCGCGGTCTTGTATTATATATAAAAACCTTCCTTTTGAATCACCTTATCTATGAAAAAAAAAACCGCATCAAAATCTGTTGTGTAGTTTTAAAGATTTAAGCATACATAGGGATATAAAGACAGAAAAAGTGAGTTAGTTTTATACTATGAAGTGAAAATGCAGTGGTATTAATTTGGCTCTTTGGTGAGTTAAACTCTTTTTAATATTCAAATAATAAGAACTTACTTACCAACTCATTGCCGAACACGCTACTATATTCATAAAGTGTAAATTAGGTTTAAGGAAACATAAAAAAAAAACAATTTCTAAAATTACAACTTTCTCTTTAATTGTGCCATTAATTAATAATCTAGTTATATTGTAATGAAGACATGATATTGGTAAATTCATAATAACATAATTAATTAATTGCTGTTTGAGTTATTAAATAAAAAATAATTTAGAGGCTTTATTGAAAGCTAAAGCTTGTCTTTATCTGTCTCATTTTAAAATAAAAAATGGACAGACTAATTCAGAGACAATAAAAATATTGTTTTAACAAAAGTGATAAAATTGATTTCCTATATACGTGCACTATCCATAAATGAAATAACTTTTAAATGATTTTATTGCTTCTGTATTTAGTTTCGTTGACATTTCAGACCTTATACAGGTTCGATAAAACTAAATATAAATACGATGAGACCGTTTAAAGATCATATAATTTATAAAACTGATATAAATTTTAATTTGTACAGTATGCTCTACATGCAATTGATTCACGTTGGGAGACTCCATGGGAGAGTAAAGCGGCAGTTCTCTTATATACGGAGTTGGCAATCAACTTTTTGAAAGTGCTTCTGTATATCGGCTTTGTTGCCGTTATGGTGCGCATCTACACATTGCCCCTCTTTGCTTTCCGACCTATGTATGAGACTATGAGGTGAGATTTATTTAAAATCCAGTTCTAGATACATCCTTTCTTTGGAAATAATTTAAAAAATAAACTGAGTTTCTTTAGTATCACATGTGAGACATGTTAAATGGAACTAAACTAAATGTTGTCATGGTGAGTAAATCAGTTAAATAAACTATAACAATATTTCATCTTGTAGGAGTTTCAAGAAGGCTTACAATGATGTGGTATTGTCCCGGCGTGCGATACGAAACATGAACACTCTGTATCCAGATGCAACGGCCGAAGAGCTCGCAGCCGCTGATAATGAATGTATCATTTGTCGTGAAGAAATGCACTCAGGTATGTTATTTTACGCATGTATTACTTTGTTATATATAGATTGTTTGCTATCCTTGGATATTATACTACTTCTTTCTTTCTCAATGGCTCAGTTACGACTTTAAGAACACAATATGATGGTATAGGGAGTTTATAATAATTTCACTAGCATCACAATAAGTTTATATTTAATTAAGAATCATGTCCACTTTCCATACATACATTGATTGATGGTCACATATATTTTTTTAAGGTCACCCATCCTGAATGATCATCTAAATTAGTTATTGCTTAAAATATAATAATATCTTAGCATTTTTTAATTTGGAGGTCAGGGAGATTCGTAAACCGTAAATAATGTTTTGAGGTTACAACAGCTGTCAAAATCTACCAGTAGAAGTACTACTTTAAAAATTAATGCATTAAAATCATAGCTTTTTATAGTTTGATTCGTAAATATAGAAATAAATCAATTGTAATTGTTAATGTGCATTTTTCTACTTTATGACGTAAGAATATTTTCTCCGTAGTAGATGAAACTAAACGTAGCAAACCATCATTATGTACGAATTGTATTCGGGTAGTTAACATAGTACTATTTAAAAATAATTATTAGCATCGCAATTTTTATCCTGACTTTATTTTAAGATTTAATTTCCTAATGTGCAATAAGTAAAAAATAAGTTATTTCTTGAGATCACATCACTAGTAAATTTTTAGAACAAATTGGACATGATTCTGTTTATACATATAGTGTCACAACACATTCTACAATAAGTTAAACAACAGTTATCACGAGAGGTAGATGATAATAACATTACAGCATAACAATAATTGAAATAGTGTCGAAAGTGAGTAAAAAAAAATCGTGTCTGCTCAATAATGTTGCTATTTTACATGTTATTTAATTGCTATCAGTTGTTGTTTGAAAATGTTGCCAAATATTTGAGTTAACTATCAGTGAAATCGTAAACATTTCACCTGAGTGCATTTAGACTGTGACGATAAGTCGTGGCTGCCATACGTGTCTTATGATAAGGTTTTCGTATTTATTGTTTATTAATTGGATATAATTGAAGGTCAGTGAAACTACCAAAGCGGGCTTACTTATTCATATGCGTTTTACATCGCTTTTTGCCCAAGGTCGAATGACGCATGTTTTCCGATTTCTTTCGTCGTTCAGTATAGATGCAACTAAAACAAAAAGGTGCTATAAATAAAATACGTGCTACCTTACGGTGTAGTAGTTCATTTTTTTCGGCCAAAGTTTTAATTGTATTTTCAGCTTGATAATTAAATATGTATAATAAAGTTGTAGAAAGTAAACTTTATAATCGGACCACAAATGAGCAACTACTCCTTTTTAAATTTTTTGCGTACTCATTAATTTCTGGGGATGTTATTCGGAGTTATTGATCTAGATGCATTGTTGAATGGGATTGAATAAAATATACATTTTTATTAATAAGATTCATGTATATCTTCGTGCAAGTATGAAACGTTGTCTGTCTTCTGATGTAAGGTATATCGTTTTAGGTGCCAAGAAATTGCCGTGCAACCACATATTCCACGCGGCGTGCCTCCGGCTGTGGTTCCAGCGGCAGCAGACCTGCCCCACGTGCCGCCTGAACGTGCTGAGAGCTCCCGCTCCGGCCCCCGCCCCCGAGGCGGTCCCCGCTGCCCCTCGCGCCGCCCCCGCCGCAGCCCCACCGCAACCAGGCAACGTTCCTCCACCCTTTCCCAACATGCCACCACCACGTCAGTATACATATCAACTTAAACTACATCACTTTGTTCATTATGATCTTGCTCTTTTATTTGATCGAGGAGTTATATCACAACATAGTATAAAACAAAGTCGCTTTCTCTGTCCCTATAACCCTATGTATGCTTATATCTTTAAAACTACGCATCGAATTTTGATGCAGTTTTTTTCATAGATTTTTTTTTTCATTCTTTTTGGTGATTCAAAAAGAATGTTTTTATGTATAATACAAGACCACGCTGGCGAAACTGCTGGCGGAAAGCTAGTATCGAGATATATTATACTAGCAGTTTTCATTTCATGCCGTTGTCACCCGAGAATAACGTAGCTTCTAGGTAAAATAATTTACATAATCGGATCAGAATTTCCGAAGATTACTTCTACAAATAAACAAAGTTAGAAACTTTACTTCTTTATAATATTAGTATAGATACTTTTTTTATGACTTGTCATGCTGTCAGACTGCCACTGGATTTGAAACCTAATGTAAATGATAGTAGAGTGCAAAATCCATTAGGGAAATTTGACATTTGCGGTAAACTGATGTGAAGTTAGCATACATAATTACCTCCACTGTTACAAATTGAGCTCGAAACAAACTTGACCTTAGTCTCGTGTAAAAATATCATGAACAAGTAATTTAGCATACGTGAATATTGATGACGGTATTGTTAAAAATAATAATTTTACTTATGTTAAGAAAACACGGTTTACTGGAAATTTCGCTGTACACTTCTGATTTCAATTATTTTTTATATTTTTTTTTTCATTTAAACACTTAGTATCGAAGAAGTGGTGTACTGTTACTAAAATATTTGATCTTTTAAATTAAAAGTGTAAATTAATATTTATTATACAAAATGTAATTAAAAAAATAGTATTCATGCATTCCCAGTCACATATGGGGGAAACTAACCGTACGCACTTCGCGTTTATATTACGGAGAAAACACGAAATTTCCAGTAAGTGATATTGCTACTTCGGACCAATATTGCTAGTCACATCGGATTGGTTAATTTTATAGCTGAGATTCGATACTCAAACTAACAATAAATATTATAAATATCAATCGATATATATCCGTTGATATTTATCAGCAAACCCTGGTTTAATATACTAAAACCGATATTTTATACTCGTTGTCATGTGACCGCAAACAGCGCGTGACATCCCAACCTTCTTACCAATATCAGAACTCAGAGAACTTAAACTTGCATAGAACGATATTAGTTTCAGAGGGCGTGACGTCATAGCGACCCCATTACAGAAGTTGACGACTCGCGGAAAATTATGAAAATGATTTTTTTTTCGATTTTAACTTATTTTATGAAATATTATTCATAATATGCACAACGTGTAACAGAAATAACGCACATCCTTATACACCCCAATTGGAAAATGCATTTATAATCATAATTTTTTTTTATGTCATGAATTTTTTTATGTATGGAGTTATACTAATTGCTGGGTAATAGTGTCGACATCTTACGAATCCACACTATGACGTCAAAATTTCAGCTTAGCCTGCAACTATGTACAGCGCAATACCACAATGATACCACCTATCTACCAATAAAAATTATCTACATGAAATATTATTCTGGCGTTTAGATTCAGTGTTTTTTAACTTTAGACTATTCTTATTTGTTATGAGTATCGGCTGGCAGTCTTACGATGACATATCACACGGCGAGCACAGTATCACCACATTGTGCCTAACCCTTAAGCATATCGATGTATATGCTGTACGTTAGTATAACGAAGAATCATCCATGTGAAATTGAAAACTCTATTGCGATAAAATAATCCAGCCAGCGTCATTTTCATATGCCATGTTTTTTGTGGTATATTATTTTTCTCTTTGTTTATGAATTATTTTACTCTTTGTTTATGTACTCATGCATCATAGCATTTAAAAGCATTTTAGACTCAAGGTACATTAAAAGAAAGCTCATTTTCTTTGTTATTTTCCTATGTTATATTTTATAACAAGCTAAGAATATAGTGCATCTTAAAAAGCCTTATTACATTCACTTAAGTTCATTTTTTGTTTGTGACGGCTTTAATGGTTACAGGTGACCATAATTTACATGATTCCAATTAAATTTAGCAAAAAAAAAAATTACAATTTGTTGAAATCGAATCAGTATCTGAATTTAAATAAACTACTTTCAGAATCATGTTACACATTGCATATAATTTATATATCTATATTTATTTATCTATAAAAAATATTAAAAAGTTGTCTACACCCCTATTAAGTGTATACCAATGATTTGTAATGTTATTGTGTATAGCAATAATGTCGTGGGGTATACCGCCGCCGCCACCACCTCGGCCCGCGTCTCTCGCTACACTCACCACAGCTGAGCTCCAACGTATGGAAGGCACCGAACGTAGGAATATTGAAGCGAGGTTACAGGTTAGTTTAAAATTAGAATAATATTGTAGCACTGGAAACTAAGGTATAAAATACAAAAACGATCTGACCGTTCCCGAGTTACCTTATAGTGACCGATTATTATTATCTGTTCTAATCTCTATTACATAACGATTCATGGTACAGGAAAGCGTCAGTATAGAAGTAAGGAGAACTTAACTTTCTTTTTTAATGTATACAAATTAAAATGTTTTGAACCCCTGAAAGTTAGTTTACATTTTTTATCTCTTTTTGTATGTTAGAGTGTTCATTTTTGAGACGGGTCAGTAAGGGCATGTACCAAAACCATTAAAGTTACATGAAACCATTTCAAGGACACATTAGTTTTAAAAGTAATAGTTATTTAAGATACGAGTGTGGAAAGTAAGGTTTTACGAATAAGGGCCAAATTGAAAACACGAGCGTAGCGAGGGTTTTCATTGGCACGAATTCGAAAAACCTTTTACGCTCAAGTTTCTTACAACACTTTTCAATGCTTTTTGCGAGGAAATAAAACAAATATATAGGTTAATAAAACTAAGTATTTATTAAAGGTAAAAATTATTTGTTAAAATTAAACGTGATATTTGAACATGTTTTCATGATATTTGAACATTTATTTGAAAATAATTTCAGTTGTTACGCGAAATTCAAGCTATGCTAGATGCCTCGGTGCTCCTGATGCAGCAATACTCGGCGGTGGTCACCAACCTTCCACAGAATCAGACAACAGTCGCTACTCAAACGGACGCGCCGTAAGTTGAAATACATTGATATAATGATATACAAATACAAAATTTTAATAGCGACCGATTTCTTATACGTTTTCCTGCTACGTAATAGATGAACAATGGTTTCTTTCAAATTTGGGGCTCGATGATTTTGTACATAAGGGAAGAATGATCTTGAAATATTGAGACTCGCATTACAACCGTTTTTGATATTTCATACTTATAAAAATATATTTTTTAATATTCTTATTTCTACCCCAAAAAAGTTCAAGTAGTCTTTGATTGTCTGTAACAGAAAATTAATGAGCAGAACCTTAACGGTACGTGCGGTATATTGCGTGTTGATTGTTATAATAGGGTAGTTTCGGTAGTTAAAATTAAGTCACGAAATGGCATAAAAACTAAAACTAAAATTTACATCTTAATAAACAGAGATTCTGATTTTGAGTCTTAAAATCGCACTATTATCTAAAAATTCAAAGGTATGATTTTTTTGTGTCATGTGACTTATAACACGACCCGCCATAAACATATGACTATTAATTATGAATCAAATTCCTAGATGGCACTATTCTTAGCTTATTAATATCATTTAATTTCGTGATCGATCGTAAGATGGCACTGTTCTTATTTTATTGATATCTTTAAATCTTCTTTCTACCTCTATTCATCTGTTTTGTGTACACATCATAATGGCCACAATGGAGTGTTTTCGCGGGTTAAAAAAAAGTTTAAAGTTTGATTTAATTTTAAGGCAAGAAAACGTGTTTGTCTTTCCGAAATACTTGTTTTATGACTTTAATAAATTATAATAAACACAAGTATTATCTAAAATCCAGCGTGGCGCTGTGTGTGTAAAATCCAGTATGGACACCTGTTGTCCATCACACGCGCGAAGTTTTTGATATTTTCTTGTAATCATTTTTTTTTTTTTAATCATATTTTTCTTTAATGTTAACGGTTTCCTTTATTTACTTGAACAGACCCTCTGAACCGGTTGAGGTGAGTAAAGTGAAAGTGAAAGTGGAACCGGACGTGGTGCCGTCAACCTCGAGCCACCAGCCAACGGACTCTGCCTCCGATGCACCTGCCTCTAGGTCAGTCACTCTAGTTCTTTGATTTCTCGACCTCAACCAGGTTTTAGTGTCTCCAAATTACAATTAAACCTACTAATGTTTTGATTTCTCGATCTCACGTCGGTTTTACTAACTTTTAAGTTACTAAGGTACCTACTGATTTTTGATTTCTAGACATCATGTAGGTTCTAGTGTCTGTAAGTTACCTACTAATGTTTTGATTTTACGACCTCACGCATGTTTTAGTTTCTTGAAGTTATCTATTGATTTGATTTCATAGCCAACGTCAGACATCCCAGGTTCGATTGCAGCTCAGGTTAATATTTTCTAGTCTCGGGTATGGCTGTTGTTGTACCTTAATTGTTTTAGATTTCCGTAACACAATTGTTAAAAGGCATTTCCTGTGTGAATAATCTAATAGTTATTTGTTCAACAAGGGTCGTAAAGCATTGATTATTCAACGGGTGTACAGTTAGATACAACTGATGTAGCTCATTGATGTACCCACACTGAAGGCTGAATTTCGAAGTTGCAAATTATGGCCTGTGGCATGAACTCGAGCTTAATGCTTTGCATTTTACACCTTATGGTTATTAAAGCAAGACTCACTGTCAATTTTAATCAAACGTTTGGTCATCGTCGAAATATGTAAATCTCACAAACAAAGATACAAAAAGGTTCGAAATAATTGTACATTCAACAACACAAGTAAAGTCCGCATCAGTAACAAACGTGTTTGTATTGCTTTAAGTGATAAACCATTCTAAATGGAATTCAAATTTTATTTTTAACATATACATTATAGTAGTATATAGATCTGAAGTGTTCTATATTATACTCACCAGCGTGAAAAGGGGTGTTAGTCAACCCTTACTATGCTTTAAGTATGTTTTTTTCAGAAATAAATAACTAAAAGCAATTCTTTTTTTCTTTTTCTCCCGTCCTCCTTAACCATCCATAAGGAAGGTCGGAGCCCCCCCCCTGCAGTGGGGACGCAAAAGGGCTGGTGATGATGATGATGATGAATTCTATTTCACAGAGATAAGACTGATGCTGATGCCGAAGAATTAAGGAGACGTCGACTACAGAAATTCACATTGGACAAATGAGCTTGTTGTTATAATATTTCTGTTCTAATTTCCTTACTTACTATTATTTAATGTACAAAGTGTTCCGGTATGTGTAAGCATTGTGTATTCTATTTTAAAATATATGTATTTATGTTCTTGTAAATATAATGCGATATATACATGAATACATAGCAATGTTGTATTAATTTATGACACCAGTCAACCTTTAGCCTTTAGTAATAGAGTTTCTTTTTATTATTTTGCTTCATGCTTTAAATTATACCTGGAAATTTATAAAATGACGGTAACAAATATGCATTTCTGTTAATGCTTGTTAACCTATTCTCAGTAAGGCATATATCTACTTTAGATCCATAAAAATATTTGATTTTTTCTTAGTAAAACAACAAGGCTTACTTTTACTGAGAACAGGTAATGAGAATGGAAGAAAAAAGCAAATGTCTTACAAGGCATAAAGTATATAGTCATGGAAAAACTTTTTTTTTTTAACCAAGTACTTGTATTGTCATTCCGAAAATTGTAAATAAAAATTATTGTATATATGTGGAACATTATTTTAATATACTAAACTATATAATTATTTACACTAGTGATCTTAACAATTATAAAATGCATTGATATATCCATAAATGTCTGGGTTGTAGTTCTCTAAAACTGGTATGCCACTGAGGTATCTACTTGAATCATACATTTTCATATCATTTTTGCAGTACCAAACATTTTTAGTACCTTCGTCGCCGTCGACATTTAAAGTGTTCAGTTCCAATACGCCAAAATGATATCTCTGTCCGTCAGTTTGGATGCAGTTGATGTAAACTGGTTCAGGCAGGTCTTTTACTTCTTCCTGTGAATGTAAGACAGTTGGTATAGGATTTGCCTGTATAAATAGGGGTGTAGACAACTCTTTTTATTACTTATTTTATAGATATACATGATATATTTAAAAAAAAAAATATTGTAAAATACCATTCATGTAATAAGTTGATATCTAAAAATAAATTTAATATTCAAAAATTTCTTGCAAAAATGATATTTCCGACATGCGTGACGTCCATAACTCTGTAACGAATATCGTTACATGTATAAATAAGGTTGAATTATCTAAGTTCTGATATAAGTAAGGGCGTGACGTCACTCGCTGTTTGTGGTCACGTGAGAACGACCATAAAATATTTGTTTATTTCATAATTAGTTTCAGCAATATTATAAATATAATAAGCGTAACAGTGAGAAATAATAGATATTTAATTTCGTTTACTGTCTACACCCGCCTTTAGGAATAATCTAGAATCGCAGGCATTGTTTATAAAGGTCATTATTCTAAGATTGAGATAGAAGACTTAGTAGGATTATTTGCCATTTTAGTAAGCAATAACTGTAACTGTAATTTAAAGTGTAACTAAAACCTCAGCAAAATAATTTAGTAAAAAAATGGTTTTTTCACTTTGATCGAGTTTAAAGAATTGCAAATGACTTCTATTACATAAATAATACCTCATATTTATTGTGCAGGATTGAATTGACAATTTTAATTTCAATTTAATCATCTTTCAATCATGAAGTGCTTGTAGCTGTACCTGTCTACAGTACCTAACCTGCTGAGTTGGACTTCACACACACACATATGCTTCTGTGTGTCTGTTTAATGAACATATTGTATTGAATTAATATTGGGATAACGAAAAGAACACTCACTCCATGCAACTGCTTAGCATAAGCAGTGGCAACAGCGAAGGCGTGAGTGAGAGACCTTCCCAAGATTTGCATGGGAGTAACAGCTGTCTCATATAAGTTGGATACTTCTGTATTGTTAAAATGTAACCATGTTGTGTGAGGATGTTTCATGCTCACACTTGATTTTATTGCTGCAAATGAAACACGATATAAAGTAGTTAAGAGCAAAATAATATTGGGTAAATACATTAGACATTTTATAGACCATTTAATAGAAATGGGAATTTCATCATCATCAGATTAATGAAAAAGAAAGTGATGGCATTGAAGTTGTTGTTGGGATACTGGGTGACCTTTACAGCTTATGACATTTTTTATATTTATTTGTTAAGGTCTTGACCATATATCTGTTTAAAAGTATAATAACTTTACAGTATCATACATATTTGCAATAAAGTGCAAAATGTTTGACAATGAATCCTTCACAATAATATCAATGCTTAATATCTTATACTTACGGTATTTACTATTTTCATCATAAAAATGCTCTTGTTGGAGAGTGATTGTATGTTTTAGTGGATGCATGTTAGGTATTTCAACAAATGGTATATTATTCTCAGTGTTGTGTTTCAGAGGTTTATTGGTGGTTACCAGTATGTTAGACACCTCTTGAAATTGAAAAAGTTCATCCTCCTTGTCAAATACGGCTTGGCATTCAACATCATTAACTACATATCTGGTTTGAGTAACCTCTGTTCCGCTGCTCCTTTCAATTATTTGTAAAAGCCTATTTGTAAGTATTTGGCTAAAAAAGGGGAAAATAAATTTATCAAGCTCAACAGAACAAGTATTTTCTTTTATTTCGTATTCACACAATAATTTATTATCATATTTAAAAAAAAAAAAATTCTCTTCAACTAAACAGGCAAACATTTTAAAGGGCCAATATAGATGTTGTGGCTCTCTTGTCTTAATGTGATATGCAACTATTTATTTCTTTACTTACTTTAATAAAGTAGCTATATTTGAAATGTTTCACTTACTTCCTTCTTCGGTCAGTGATTCCTAGTATACGGGGAAAATTATATGCTGGTCGTAATGGGTCTTTAATTTTAGGTAACTTTTTCTGTTCACAATCAAATACATTAGCAGATAAGATGGCTTTCTTTACATTCTCGTGAATAGCTTTAGGTGCTTCTAATTCAGCTAATTCTTCTATCTTTGGAGGTAATTTATTTTCAGCTATAACCGTTTTGGTTAATACCTGTGCTTGAGAAATTCCTTCTAATAATACAGTCGTATTTTTAAGGGTATAACATGGTTTTTCTTTATATTCAGGGTGGTTTTCATCCAATGGCAATGGTGGTTCATAAAACCCTACAATGTTAACTCTAAAACAAATTTAAATTACAAAATAAAAAAACAAATTTATAGTGCTATTTAAATAAATTTATGCTTTTAGACACTTCACCAACAATAAGTAGCTCGGTGGCGTAGTGGATAAGCGCCGCGGCCCGCAATCGTTGTCGTTAAGCAACTTTCGCAAGTCGGTCACGGGATGGGTGGCCAAAAAATTAATATCTCGAGGTACTCCGTGCTTCAGAAGGCACGTTAAGCCATTGATCCCGGCTGCATTTGCAGTCGTTAATACCCTCCAATCCGCATTCGGCCAGCGTCATGGCCCATCCTCCTTAACCATTCATAAAGAAGGCCTGAGCTCCTGCAGTGGGGACGTAAAAGGGCTGATGATGATGATGATGATGATGACCAACAATAAAGTATCTTCATAGTAGTTGAAGAGATTAATTTGTAAAAATAAACAGACGCATTTATGAACCCTCAACACATTAGCTATGATTACTACGAACTATAAATAGTATCTACTTTTGAATGTATAGTCTTACTTTTCATGAGGTTCTTCTTTCTCTTTGATAAATTCCAAAGCATCCACAACAGGAATGCCCTTATTCTTTAGGTATTCTTCAACGCCAGTATCTATTGGCACTCGTTTACCCTGTACCAACCAGTGTTTTTTGAACATAAAATCAAGATGCTGCTTTTTTAAGACCTGTGAGAGTCTCATTTTTAATTTGTAGTTATAATTGGCTTAAATAATAAATAGGCACCAGAACTTGATTGATTTCTATTACAATACAACTGTTTTTAGGTTAAGTTTCTAAGACTGTCATGACACTGACAGTGACATTTAGCGATGTGCGAACCATTAATAAGTTGTGTATTAATCGATTCCGTTCTAATCATAAGCAATTAATAATTTAAACGAAAAAATCTGAAAGTTGACAAAGTGACAGGACTTCCTATAAAAGTTAAATAGTTAGCTTCATGTATGATAAAGTCTGTTATCTTTTTAATAGGGAAGTATTTTAAGAAAAAGAAAGAGCACTAAACAAGCACCTCACTAGATGGCGACCCTAGCAAATGTTGATTTTTGCAAGAAACGAATGAACCTAAGATAGTCGTTTCCTTTCAACTAAGATATCAAAAAACTGAAATTGGAAACTTAGATATTAATACAAATAATAAAAAGTACAAATAGAATATGAGTTGCTTATTGAGTTTTGAAAATTAATTTACTTTTATACATGAAACAAAACCGGATGAATGCACTCATGGAGAAATCAAGAAAGTACCGTAGCGACATCCAGTTTGATTTCGGGAACTGATGTTTTTTTTAATACTTCCTCATTAACGACTTATTGCGTTTACACAATTCCGCCAACGTCATGTTTGTGGTCTATCAAAGCGACGCAACCGATAAATAGTGATGTTGTCCAAGGTAGTCGATATTTTTGTCTAAAAATATACTCACCAATCCCTATACTTTCTTTCTTTCGTCTTTTTAGTTTCTATAAGAGATGCGCCGAATATTCGTTTGGTATTCGTCATCTTTTTAAGTATACGTATTCAACGAATTGTTCGGTTTTGGTAACGAATATGTTTGGTTCGAGATTTCTATTTCCTTGGTAACAAGAAACGGTATAGAACTAAAAGACAAAACTTAGATAGAAAATTTATGTTACAATATAATCAAAGAAATTCTATGAAGTATGTGTTTAATAAAATAAAGCAATGTAGTTTTTAAATCATAATTTTTTTTTTTATTAGCTATAAAATCTATATATATGGTTAGTCACTATAAAACTATAGAGACCAGAAATGAAATAAAAGATAAGCGAAATAAAACGTAAACATATTTTAATATTTATGATTAATTAATGGTAAATTATGGTGCAGTAACATCAAACTGCTGTCTCCGGCCAAAAGTCTGTTAGGTTTGATTGAATTTAAAAATCGAAAAGGAGGAGGTTATAACATGTTCGATGGCGATATGTTTATTACCGAATTAAAACAAAAAACCTAAATATTTTGATGATACCATATGTTTATATCAGCGAAAAAAAAATTGCTTAATTAACATTAAAGATCGGAAAGGAGGATATTCTATGTTCAACGTATGTTATGTTATGGCAGGGGCTCAGGCCTTCCTCATGGATGGTTAAGGAGGATGGGCCATAACCCTCCACGCCAATGTAGATTGGAGGGTATCAACGACTGCAAATGCAGCCGGGACCAACGGCGTGAAAGTGCCTTCCGAAGCACGGAGTAGCTCGAGATAATAATTTTTTTTTGGTCACCCATCCCGTGTCCGACCCTTGCGAAAGTTGTTTAACGACTACGATCGCGGGACGCGGCGCTTATCCACTACGCTACCGAGCTTCCCTCTTGTATAAAAAAATATAAATATCACTGTAAAATAATAAAAATAGAACTGACTTCAATCTACAAAAAAGGGATAAATAATACCTATTTATCTCAAAAGCGATTTATTCAAGAAACTGCTAATGAAGTCGGGTGCCTATCATTTAATTGATACCTACAGAAAACCTCCACCCGAATCTTGTGCAGTTTCTTCAATAAGTCGCATTTGAGATAAGTATTATTTCATATTATATTGAAGAATAATTCAAATAGGCTGCTTTCGAAATCATCAAATTCATTTATCAACCGTATTTTTATTTACTTCTAAACAAAAAGCAAAAAGATGAAAGTTCTAATTCTTATATTCAATTGATTAAAAATGGAAATTTAACTATTATAATAATTAACTTTATTGCATGACGAAAATATTTAAGAGAACATACAAATATAGCGGAGCAAATGGCTGCAATCAATGAGTTTAATAACTAGAAAAGCAATCCCATACAACAGACGCGCCAAAAAGCGTAGCACTTTTCCGAAATCAGGACGTAGCTTTGTAAATAATATTTATACTATATAATATAAATCGATTTATTATATTTATCTCCCTCATATCTACGATTAAACTTTAAATTAAACAAAGACAGAATATGCGCGAACAACAGAATGAACGGAAAAATGGGTAATTGATATTGTATTGCCAGCTGTCGAAAATTTCACCCATTGTGATGAATGAATGAATGAACGAGTAGTGTAGATTTATGTATAAAATCAATTAGTAAAATACTGTAACTTTGAAAATATCTTTGCAAAAACTTTGAAAAAAAGAAAAACAATTACGAAAGGAGGCTCTGTGCATATATATCCCTTTGTTTTTCGATAAAGTTAGTAGTTAAGACAAAAACATTTGTCAAAGTTCATAAAACATCAAACAAACTATTTTACGTATTTTCAAAAGTTGTATCTTGACAACTAACGAATTATTCCACGCATTGAAAAAATTAAACCACATTAGCATCTGTGTGCATGAATAAAAAAATTTGCGCAGTTGCCTATACTTAAGCTGAGCTATATAATTAATTATAAAAAGATATTTAGATAAATTATAGCCACGTTAATTAAAAAGAAAAGGTTCCCATATACTTGGGAAAATTGAAAGTGAATAGCAGTGGCAACACTGACGACAAAATGTCGAAATTTTATTTGAAAAAAATTAAATATTTTTATTTTATAACCTAGCTTTAATTTTGTATTTATTGCCAAAAATGTTAATGATTTAAGTGTGAAACTTAATATCTTTCGTATTATGTGTATTTGTGAAAGAGAATCGAATTTTATCTACTGTTTTTCTTTGTTTTTACGGAGCATTTTTTTTGTACTTTCTTGGCGGGAGTTGAATGAGTAATGAAGTGCAAAACGAAAAAACTAAGACAAACGTCTTAGTTTTAGTAGCTTCAGATTTTTGGTATGTATTGCGTATCTAGACATATTAGTATCATTGATTTAAAAGCGCAGGCAACTCTTCCAGGCAACCGCATTATTTTATTTAATCAATTATGAACAAATTTTTATCTTATGCGAAAGTTTAAAACAGTTGTAAAAATATTTATTCCGTCTGTTTGGGTGGATTGCCTGAACATTAATGAAAATACGCTCACTAGAAACGGAAAGTAACAGGCACTTGAAAAATTCTTCAGTCCTGTTAGGGCTCAACAATTTTCTTCACTCTATGTTAGAACTTGAGATTCGGTAGGTTAGCTGCCCGAGCCTTTCCCGTCCCGCAGAGGGCGACTCCTCTCTACCCCCTGGAGAGGAGTCCCAGCGCGGATTGAGTCCGGGCCCTTCTTGCTGGATACCGGACTCATCCATCCGCGTGAGGTGAACCGCAGCGGGTTTTACCAGGTAGGGCTTCCACATTAACCTGCTCTTTTCAGGGCGGTGTGGAAGAGGAGCCCTGGTTTAAGGCTTAAGGTGCATTTCCCCTGCGTTAACAAAAAAAAAAAAGGTAGGCTGCCCGCAGGCAGACAGACTTACTTAACCCAGAAATTCAATTGATTTCAATTTTGTATAAAAACATAAAACAAGATTCATATGGGTCTCAGGTATTCTATTTTTATGTCATTTCGAAACTCACTTATGCCACGAAACGATATTACCAATTAAAGGTTGAGTTGATGCTGCTTTTGAAGTGTTTTCGGACCTGAGTGAAATCGAATTCGGGTTCGAATTTTTAAAGAATCGCAGGGTAGGACTTACATTCTGCTAATTTTTATATAATAGCATCGCATCTCAATAGAATCTCGACTACTCGCATTTGCAATTGTACTATCTGAAGTTCAATAATTTTAATACAATTGTCTTTTTCACAGAATATATCTGTTAACATTGGTTAACAGATATATTATGTGATCTAGTAACAAGAACTGTGTCATAAAGGTTGAATGTTGAAGCGCTATTGATTTTCCTTATTTACGCTAAATTAGCAGTCTTTTTATTTTTAACCAACTTTGAAATCTAAAAGGAGGAGGTTATATATTCGACGGCGATGTATGTTTAACGATATTTCCTCCAGTTGTTGACCGATTTTCAAAATTGTTTTTTATTTTTCACTGTTTTAAAGTTTGAAGTAGCCCAATCTATATTACTCTTCTATGGTTTGAAGTAGGTTATATTTTTGCAAAAAGTTCGACACCCCGTCAACTGAGGGGTAAGTGTAAGATTTAGGCTAACGCGTTTACTAGTGAGCGCGTTAAGAATTTGTACAGAGATTTGGAGTTTTTGGGAGTTACCGCTAGGGGCGCTGTACAGGATTCCATACTAAAATCTTAACGCGCTTACGATCGACAGTGAACGTAAACGTCAAAAAAACTTACACTAAGCGCTCAGTTTGTGCTTCGTGTGTGGGTCGTACCATTGAACCATATCATTTTCTACTAAATTATTTAAAAAAATGTAATTTACCTACCATTTAGCGTGTCCGTCACATTTGTGAAATGAATTCTGATCCCGTTAAGTCTCTTAATTATTAGCCATATACTCAAGTTACGTAGTTTCAGAGGAAAACGAGAATATGCTGCGCTGATGAGTCCGGCGACCACAGCTAGAACTCTGTATTCACGCAGAATTATTATATTTTATCATTAAAGTTATCATATCAAATAAATAACTAAAACTCATAAATAATAAATGGATTGTTAATGAACTTGTAAATTACAATTTTATCAATGATCCATGATTCCACGAATAAAAATTTCGTTCTCAAATTATGTGATTGGTTTAATCCTCCTTTAATACTAGCTTCGTTCTCAGAATGGTAGAGATAGTGAATAAAACAACGAATAATTTCGTAAATATATATATTTAAATTTATATCTTCCATCAATACATACAACGACACTTATACATTCATAAATTTGGCCGTAATTCCAATAGGTCTCACTATAAAATGGCATACGTCTGTGGCGAACAGGGACTGATACACATTGTAACTGCGACTCAACCGTACTCACATAAGTTAAATAATGCATTCTAATAGTAAATCACTTGACCTACATAAGATAACACGGGGAAGACATCGTTTTTTTAGGTAAAAACATTTCAAAACTTTAAAAGAAAAACAGCACCGTTTAAAAGAATATTTTTAAATCCACCGACCGAATTGCACATGACAAAAAAGTATGATATTGATGGAGGAGAATACCTTTACAAAATAAAACTTATCGAAATATCTTCGGTGTATGCTAGGATCTATAAAAATTGAAAATAATACAACTAATTAATTTCATAACTAGTAAGACATATAATCCCTTACCACGAGATCAGCAACAAGTGACGTCACCCGGTATTTGCTCAAAACATCATTTAGATTATTTTTGATACTATTAGACATTTGGACACTTTAAACATAAGAAACTTCGAGACGGCATACTTTGTAAGAAACCAACAAAAAAGAATTTTTAATAAATTATAAATAAAGAAGTCCCTTTGGCAATTTCGTTTTTTTTACCAATTGGTGGGTAGGCATTTTAGATTTCAAAAAATCTTTGGAGTTTCAAGTGTCAGATAATTATAAATCGTACTATTTCTGTCATTTTAACTATGCATTATTTTAACCGCATATTGCAACAATTTGCGAATCAAACATACAACACTTACTATCTATTATAATATAATACCTAATTATTTTTATAAAGTAACAAAATTAACTTATATTTACAGTTATCGTTAAAATTATAAAAGAAATTTTCTATTTTTAGAATTTAAACTTTTCAGTTTCGTCATTGACTTTTTATTTAATTTCAGAAGGTATACGAAAGTATAGTTGTACCGTTATTGGTAGGTACGTACTTGACTATAATTCTTTACATATTAATATCATTAGAAATAAACGAAGTGCCTCCATTAATACTGGCGCTACCACAGCAATAATGAAAATTAATGTATCTCTGCAAAACCGAATAATATAGTACGAATTTAAGGCACCGTTGGCTTTTGTGGTTCTCAGTTATATATTTTTTTGGTGGAAAGCGAAATAAACACGAGTTAGGCATATACCATAACATGTTATTGTACGGTACTGTGGATTTTGTCTGTCCTAAACTTGTCCATCTCGCTTTGTCACTGGCATATTATTCTCGAAATAGAACCTTCAGTACGGGGTTAGTTATTAATAATGTTTAAAATCCACTGGTGGTTGTGTATGAGATCAAATCCGACATTAGTCCCTATGTGTGTAAGATAACAATTTAAATAGAATGAAATATTTAAAAAAAGTTAATATAGTTTTTAGATTATTCGTATAAATGTATCGTCGACGATGCGCCTTTTTATTACTATATCACTGTATTCTATACTAGATCTGATATCAATGAGACGACGGGTTTTTTTTTTAAATGATGGCATTTAAAATTTTGTATTTAGAACAGCAGTTGTGTTTAGTACGTCTCCGTGTGTGAGAGGTGATGAAGGGATGACCACGCGCGAGGTGAGGCGGGTCGAGGTTGAGTGCGCGTTGAAGGCGAATTCAGTCGTCGTCTTTCTTTTCCATTTTGGGTTCATACATCGCGTGAAGTTGCTCCGGTGATATTCTATAAAAAAATAGCAATAATAAATCCAAAAATGTATACTAAGGAACAAGCTGCGTATCGCGTTTGAATTCATCACTAGAAGTACTAGTGCAGCATGTCGTTGGAAATGTCAGTTAAAAAGAATGCCCTTTTTTATTTTTTTGATTGCTATATTAAACCAATATTTGTTTAAAACAAAAAGTTATGAAAACTTATTAAAAATACATGTACATTATTAGAGGACACCGATAAAACTGGATAAAACTGACAGTGATGGCATCCTAAATGGATAGCAAAAGTCTGCCAGTTCTTAAAAAAAGGCGAATGGAATTCTTAATGTTAACGAAAATACTAATAATACTTTGTAGGTATATCGTTATATATTACCCGAGTAAACTTTGCAGGTCACATACAAAGCGGTACACGTAGCGTTTGCCAGCAGTCTTGTGGATGATGTTCTTGTCGTAATAATAGCGGAGGCCGCGCGACAGTTTCTCGTAATTCATCTTAGGTTTGTTCTTCCGTATGCCCCAGCGTCTTGCCACCTTTAGGTAATAAGAAATTAGTAATGACTTTTTTTAATGCAAGCTGTTCAGATTCCTTTGCCTTTCGTATAAAAATGACAGAAGGTCTTCTAATTTGATTTTGCATTAGTGGAGATTTAAGGATAATCTGATTGTTGCAAAACTATACGTACCTCATCGGGATCGGTGAGCTTGAATTCCCAGCCGTCGCCAGTCCAAGAAATGAACCCTTGGCAACTCTTGTCGGTGAGCAACTCCAGTAGGAACTGCCACAGCTGGATGGGGCCTGATCCTGCAAACGTGCAACACAGTTGCTTTACGATATACAATACGTTCTTATTAAATATCGTCCTTTATGTTTTATGGGACATAGTTTTTCCTAGGTGTCCTTCCTATTTCGAATTAGAAAATTTTTTGCGCGTTTTTGTTTTTATATTAATTTTCTATCAAAATAGAATTCATACTCTTGCAGCAATTCTTAATGTTTGACTGTATGAAATAAAAGAAGGTGAAAAAAGTCTAATGCCAGTTTTTTTTTAGGACAAAGTCTTCCGCCTTTGATTACGAATTGATCCCAGTCTTTCGACTTTAACGATTTAATTTATCACCTATATGAAAATGTATGTGCAATAGTAGTTATGCGTACCGGTGAAGCAGGGTCCAGAGGCAGGGTATGCGAGCTTGTCCTGGGGGATGAGGGGGTGCTGCTCGCTCGGCCATTCGGCCCACTCTGTGCACGCGCCACCGTATTCTGGCGCGTAGCTCTCGCCATAACCTTCTCCGCCGTACCTTCCACCAGTGCCTGCAACAAAGACCGCAATAAAGATAAATAACCTACCTCCATCCCTACATACTATGAATTATTATAATTATATGGCTTTAGAATTATGATTATGGGATTGACCAAATTCACATGAAATATTTCACATTATTATTTTATTATACGTTGTTAATTATCAAACATTAATGTCTATAGTAATATTAAAAAGAGGTATATAGCGTTAATATAGTCTGTTTGTTTGTAGAGGGTAATCTTCGGACATATGATACGATCATGAAAAATTCTTTCACTTACGGGAAGCTACATCATACGCAGATGCTAAAGGCTATAATTTACGTGGGCAAAGTGCTGGGAAATATATATATATATATTTCCCAGCACTTCATAGAGTTCATTTTATATTATATAAAATGAACTCTATCTATATTTAGATGGTTACGAAAAATATCTCGGGAAATTGATACACATACAAGACTCAGCGACTAAGGACGGGTCTGTGCTAAATTAATGAAGGCATTCGGTGTCAAACACAAACTCGTTAACATCTGAATCTTTCATCTGTTCCTTGATTCGGGTCATGTTACTGGACCGCTGCACGTACGGGACGGACTCTAATTGGTATCACTTAATTGTCATATTGTATTTTTAGAACGGGCCTCATTTGTAATTTACGAAGGATTTTTAGCAGTGAAACGTAAATTTTATATGTTAACATATTATTAAAATTACCAGTGTCTCTTAGTGTTTTATACCATTTCATTTAACATATGAATATAGAATAAAAAATTTATGTTAATTATTTTTAAGTAGAAAATATACGAGTAAGATCTCTTGCGGGGTAGCGCTCTTGTAGGTAGAGAGAGACAAGCGTATTTCGTTTCCTCGACTGTCGTAGCATTATTATTTCATATACGCTTGCCGATATTTGTGGCTTCTGAAAGCACCGTCTCACAGCATACATTTTTTTAATCAGCTTTAATCCGAGGAATTTTATTTTCAAAGCAAACTAAGACTACAAAATCTAGGAGCCATGCAACTGCATTAAGTACTGGATATAAAAGATTATGAATGTTCGAATACTAAAAAACTCAACTAGCATTTCTTTAATTGCAATCCTGCTGTAGACTATATGTAGTAAGAACATAGGACTGATTCAAACAGAAATAGTGGGTATTCTTTGTAGTTTCCATAGACCTAGGCAAGCTGAATCCATGACACAGGCAGATGGGATCTTTCTCTATCCATCATGCTCTGGCCTGTATAAAATGTGGATTATTTCAGGAAGCATACTTTCTGTTCTACTGTGAGGGTAAAACAGAAGGTCGTCTTTGTCATAGTCACAAAGGTCAACGTGCGAAATTCTTTTTGTTTGGCGACCGCTACGTGTTTAACTGCATAATATAGAAATAAACTTACTTCGGGGGTAAGGTTTGGAGTACGCGTGTGGCTGGTATTTGGGTTCGTGTGTTAGTAGGGGCTGCGTGTGCGCGTGCGCGTGGTGGTAGTAATCTTCGAGGTAGGGCTGCGCTGGTGGCGCGGGGGGCGGGTACTCCGGCTGGTAGTACTCGTCGAGAGGCGACGCTGCCGCCGGCGCTGCGCCTGCGCCTGTCGACGCTGCGCTCGCCTCCGTGTAGTAAGGGGTCGCGTCGCGAGGGCCACCTGTCGTGTACCCACCTGTAAACAAGATACGAGACCGTTAAAAATAATATAAATTTCCCGGAAACCCAGGGGTGACAAGCAGAAGAAAGTTTAATAGAATATTGCTGATATATCAACAATAATTATGACTATAAAATAAATATTTTACTTTTAAAATAGAAACAACAAACCTTAATATGTAACAAGTTTATATATAACCTCCTTTGCGCGAAAACTTTTTCTAGTAGAGCTATGTATGCTATTGCATGTTACGTATGTGTAAAATTTTATTAAATTTTAATAAATAAAAACATAAAAACTATTTTGGCGATTAGAACAAAATCTATTTATCATTATAACACTGATATTTATTATTACCTACATAATAATAATACCAGATTCGGTGCAATATTGAAATTTCGTTTTAGAATCTAGTTACTGATTATCACTGAGTTACTGAAAGCAATATTTCTTTGAATAATATTTATTCATAGACGAAATGATCACAGTTGACTGGCAATATTGTAGAATATAACGGAATGCTTTTTCGGGACTTTAATTCAAGGTTAGGACAATACGAATGAGCAAATACGATACTTTGGCAGTATTTCAATGTCAGAAACGATGCGGCCAGAAAGAATCAGGACAGAGGTGGCTGGCGCGCGCGCACCCGAGCATGACGGTCTCGGTTCACGGCTCGCCCTTTGTTCCGCGCGTACGATACACTGGCACCTCTAGCGTGTTCCGAATGTAGCGAAATTTCATGGTTCTTAAAAAGTTAAAAGCTTTGCTTTTTGTTTTTCTTTTTATTTATTCAAAATGAGACAAGTGTTTGAGGTTTTAATAGTTTTTACGAGTTTAAAAGGAGATTTGCATTTTAAGTTTTGTCACCCAAGTTATGGCGCATGGTTTCACTGAAATGCATAATTTAATCCTATAACAGTTATTAGAAGTAGGAATAACGTGTGTACGGTAGTTGGAGTAGGAGCTTTAAGTTAAAAAGCTTCTAGATATCAAGTTATGAATAAAAGTAAAACATTTTAGTTTTACTTAACGACATAAAAGCGAAAAGAATAACAAATTATTGTACTAATGTCCTGTAAAATAAAAAATTTGCGATTCACAAGGCATAGACACGCTGAATAAATGAAAACAAAATCGATTACTTTTTTTTTAAACTAAACTATTTGACTATTCACGTAAACAATCTCTAAAGCAAAAATATGTCGGAGCACAGTAAATACTTGAAAAAGTATTAAAGAAAGAGGCTACAATAAAAACCATCACCGACAGTAAAATAAAATATCTCAACAAATATAAATCAGTACTAAATCCGCTAACATACATATCGTTACATACTTAGTAATGCGAAAAAGAGTTACGCATGGTGTCGTGCAATAGTTGTACACAGGTCAAGCGTGAACGGTCAATTTGAAATAAACCTTATTCCTCTTACATTAAGGTTGTTTGTGAGTGGTACATAAATAGTGTACGTTATGTACTCGCATGTCATGTGCTGGGGTCAGTAATCGCTCGCTATTGTCCGCGCGCCGAGTCAGTGCCATCACTACGGATTTATTGTTGAGAACAACATGTCTACTTGGGGGAGACGATATCGTATTAAATGTACTATATACAAAATATCTTCACAGTTATAGTCAGTGCCGGTTTTAGCACTACTAGCGCCCTGGGCGAAATTTCTTCGGCGCCCCCTAACTGCAATTCAATTACTACTACATACTACAAATCAGTTACTTGCCATTTTTTCGCCGACCCGGCCTACTTACTTGTAATTTTCCCTAATTTTAGGTAAATTGTTAAGTTGGCAGCATTAGGATGGAACATAGTGTTCAATCGGTTTAATTTCTCGGGAATACCCGACTTTCCGACCATACAGAAACAATGTGTTTTTCTATAATCGGGGATTCCCGAGATCTATCTCTTTTAATTTTTGATGAAGCAGAACACAATCAACAATCATCTTCATGCTTGACATAAATGGACGCTCTTAAAACAATTATTCGATTGTTTTAAAACAAACAAACACAGTAATCAACCGTTTAACGCTACGTTACGATGCTCTTGTTCCAACTAGAGGGTGACATTAGTTTTATTTAAAAAGTAGACATATAAATAGTGCATAAGTAGCTGTTTCATTTTTGACGGATCACATAATTAAGTAAGCACAGATTTTTTTTTGCTATCTATACTACACATTCCATAAGACTTCAAGTATATAAGATGTTAAAAGAACAGGTTAATTATTGAAATTGGGTCCAGACTCTTTACCCTTGTAACACCCTAACAGGGTGTCACATAATTGTTATGTGTAACTTTGTGTAATTGTTGTAACTTTGTGACAGTGAGTTTGCAGTGGGCCATTACTTATTATATGATCAATTATTTTGCTATTTCGAATAAGTGGCCAAGTAGCTGGATCCGCTATATTCGGGACAATAGTATCAACATCATCTTGTACATGTATTTGTTGTACATCAATAACAGATTTATCCTGATCAGCATCTGTAATCGTAATACAACTTGCTCCCTCACTTCGGGATTTTTCATCCGAAATCTCTTGAGTAGCTATTTCATCTGACTTGCCAGACAGAGGCTCCACTGCCGATGCATTTGTTTGTATTGCAGCATTTTAACTTCAGCTTAACGATTTCTCCATGACAACCCTTCCAGTTTTCTTTCATGTTTAAAAGTAAATTAGTTTTCAAAACTCAATTAACAATTCATATTATATTTGTACTTCTTCGTATTTGTATTGATATCTAAATTCCGAACATTTCAAATTTCAGTTTTTTAATATGTTAGTTAAAAGGAACGAAAATGACTGTCTTTGTTCCATTCGTTTCCAGCAAAAATCAACTTTTGCTAGAGTCGCCATCTTGTAGGGGTACTTTTGTATTGCTTTCGTTTTTTTAAATATTTCCTCATTATACAGAATTAGAAAGAAGCGCCGTACGAAAAAGGGGCGCCGCGTCCTGCGGCGCCCCTTTTGGTCCAGCGCCCCTGGGCGGTCGCCCAACCGCGCCCTACCCTAACGCCGCTACTGGTTATAGTACAATAGGTATTAGCAGCAGACAAGTGAGTTTACGCTTAATTGATAACTGTAATTGAATACGAATTAGAAGATCTAAAGTATTGTATTGAAGTTGAAGTTACCATCCAATATTGTGTCTGTTTTGTTTTCGTTAACTTATGAACTTCGGCTAGTTATGCGACTGATTAAAAAAGGTTTTCAAAAGTAAATATTAACACGAAGAAATGCTAAAAATATTACCAGTCTCTGGTGCTCGCGATGGGATTCGTAATCCAGGCGACTAGAGCAGTGAGAATTGAGCTACTTGAGCATTTTTCTTTAAAATAATTATCAATAAAGCACGTGAAAGCAAACTTGTGCGAATATAATGATTAACATGAAGTTCGTTTGTGATATTATTTTGAAAGTTTGATACTGTTGGTGACTGTAGGTATTGCAATTTAGAGTTGATATTTTTTTCGTGAATTCAGTGTTGCTCCCATTGTAAAAGTTATTCAGTATATTCAACTCATCCACCCCACGAACTCCTGGCACATAATAATATAAAACCTTTTTTAAGTATTTTGGTAAGGAGTGCATAAAACTATGGAAAATAAGGCGTTTCGTCTTTCATTTTCAATTATAGAGCATCGAAAATATTTTAATCAATTACTTAAACAATTGATCATTGTAACATTGTTTATTTCAGACCCTGAACCTTAAGAAAATTGCATTAATATAAATGTTTATATAAAAATTGCTAAATTGTAGACTTATTTTTTTCTTTTCTGTCATGTTTTTGGTTTTGTTGACATTCACAATAGATCAATTATTTTGCTTTATAAATGCTTTCTTAATAAAAGAAGATTGATGAAATATATATCTCGTATACATATATCAATAGATTAAATTTGTTAAAACAGTTTTATAGTTGTCATTTTAGTAATTTGAAAAGAAATCGACTTAAAAAACAAAAACACAATAAGCTCACATTTGAATGTTATTATCTCAAAAGTCAATTAACTGTACTTTAATTGAAATCCTTGCTAATATTATATATGCTAAAGGAACTCTGTCTGTTACGCTTTCAAGTCAAAAACACTGATGCGATTTTTATGAAATTTCGTCCAGTGACAGAGTTACCTTTGCTTGGGAAAGGACATATCGACACTTTAATAAATATTTGATAAATTTGTGATTAGAATTCAATATTGGATAATATTATACCACGCGCAATAGCTCTTACGTTACCTACCTAACAACTGAACGAGATCTAAAATAAATTTATTTATGGAATTGAAATTGACCTATGCGTATTATTATTGTATTTTTTTTTGTTTAAATAACGTTCACAGTTTTATCTACTTAAAGAATATTACACACAAATACCGGAATCCTTAAGCATTTACGTCTTTTTTTTTAAAAAAAAGAACAAACATCGATAACAAATCACCCGGTGCTGTCAACTCGACAAATGGAAGTATTTTAATGAAGCAGGAATGGCTAATTACAATTCCACACTTTTCTAAAACAAGAGCAATAAATTGAGGAGGCGACGTAAAAAGCCCTGTTGGGATTCGACCTTGTGACATTAAGTCACACTCGATGTACTTTTAAGTTTGCTAGAAATAACTTTATTGTTGTCTTTGTTAGTATATAACTATTAGTGAAGGTGATGTCTTACTGATTATTTATTTTAAGTGGTATTTGGTGTCTTTCTTGTAATTTGTCTTAACCTAGGAACAAGCATCATTATCTATGGTTTCTATTCAATTCAAAGATAGTAGTTATTATATTCTCTTTGTTACTGGTTTTGTGTTAAAACTTATCCTAATTAAAAAATTTAATAGGTACCTACTATGTATGAAAATATATCTGTGTTTTGTAAGTAGTCCAATAATTATAATAAAATAAAAATAAATCTTATGTAGGTAAGTAAGATAGGTAGGCATCGAAAAAAAGTGAGGTTTTCACGGAAATACGAAAATAGACATACAGAAGAGTA